AGAGTCGATTTAATGCAACGATGCATTAATTGATTCGAACTTTTTAATTCAATATTGTAATATAATCAAAGGAATGATATTAATAGTTTTGCTAAATTTTAAGGATGACAGTTTTTGAAAATACTTTGATTTAAGCAGGGAGACTATATACGTTGTAGAGTATCCCTGATTTAAGTCAGAAAGACGCACAAATGTAGTTGTATTCAGTCATACTATATTATTTTAAAAAGTAGGGGAACCTGATCTTTCAATTTGAATAGGAAGTATAAGCGTTAACAAACTTTTCAACGACAGACTTATGAACGCACCACCAGTTCTCTTTACACGTCCCGCGTGCATGGGGTGTCATTCTTGATTTTGACGTATTTCAAGACTGACTGACTGACTGGGTTTGGTTTTACGCCGCTTTTAGCAATATTCCAGGAACATCACGGCGGGGGACACCAGAAATGGGCTTCACACATTGTACCCATGTGGGGCGGTTTTCAAGAAGGTCGATAAATCACTGTAGACCATTCATTTTGACAATCATCTTGCATCACACAGTTGTTAGTGTTTGTTTCTAGCCGGGTTTCTTGTTTGAAAATGAAAATCGTACTCATGCAAATTTCACATCATACACCAATCATCTCACCAATGCGTCGGACCACCTTCCATTGGTGTGCTATTTGAAGAATATTATCTCATCAGTAATTAATGAGATTCCGAATTCACAAAAAATTGAATCATATTCAAGGATAAGTTACAGGCTTCCTCCGGATTGTCAAATGCCTTATCAAAATTATCTCCGCAGTAAAGATGTCATAGAAATGTTTTGGGTATAATGTGTGAAGTCCATGTCTGGTGTCCCCCGCCGTGATATTGCTGGAATATTGCTAAAAGCGGCGTAAAACCATACTCACTCACTCACTCATAGATATGTTTAACACATGTACTTTATTATTGGAGGAAGCCTGTAATAGTGATGTAGGATAGCCAAGTGATATATTAATTCACTGTGCAGTGAATGCAGGAGCCTATGATACAGTCACCCGGAAATCTCATTCACAGCAACCACCTTGGTTTGATAAGGATTGTAGTCAATTAAAAACGACAAAATATTTTCTATTGAACAAATTCAGAAAATTTAAATGTGATTTACACTTAAATTTGTATGTGGATGCCAAAACTGAATATAAAAAATGTTGCGAAAAGAAGATGCGTTCTTTTAATACCAAAATATGTGATGATATAAAGAGGTCTGCTGAACGTGGAGATTGTAAGAGTTTTTGGAAGACGTTAAAGAAAGTAATACGTGGAAATGATTCAAGTAATTCGATGTCGTCTGATATTTGGTACGATCATTTCAATAATTTGTTAAATCCAAAAGATGAAAATTGTTGATGTAACCGATTTTGATTGTTTTGTTTCCTTGTATATTAATTCACGTTCTTGTGAGGATTGTAATGATTTGCCTTTCACGGATGATTTGTCAGGTGAAATAACAGACAGTGAAATAGTAGATGCTCTGAAAAGTTTAAAAAGTGGTGAACCTGAAGGTGAGGATGGAGTAGCCCCCTTAATTTTTAAGATGTCGGGAAATTTTATTGTACCTTATTTGAAACTTCTTTTCAATAGAATCTTAAATACTAGCGATTTTCCAGAATCATGGAATATAGGAATGATTTTGCCTTTGTTTAAGTCAGGTAAACGTTCTGACCCCAACAATTATAGAGGCAATCTATTTCCATTCTGAATGTTACAGGTAAATTGTTCACTATTGTTATAGAAAAGCGTCTTAGAATTTGGTTAGATGTAAATGGTCTTTTATCAGAATGTCAAGCTGGTTTCCGCAAAAATTACTCAACAGTTGATAATCTATTCATATTGCAAGCATTGTGTTAAAAATAGTTATGTAAGCCAAAAAATAGATTTTATTGTGCTTTTATCGATTTTAAAAAAGCTTTTGATTACGTTGATAGAAAGTATTTGTTGTATGTACTGCTTACTAAAAATTGTCATGGAAACTTGTTTAATGTCATTAGAAATATGTATTCTTCTGTAAAGGCTTGTATTAAAACTTCATCTGGTAGAACAGAAGGGTTTTTCACTTCTAGTGGTGTGAGACAGGGTTGTATATTAAGCCCAGCTTAATTTATCTTTTTCATTAATGAACTTGTAACAGAAGTATATAATGAGTGTAGTTATGGTGTATTTGTGACACAGGATATTGTTGATTTAATGTTACTTCTTTTTGCTGATGATGTTGTCATGTTTTCATACACTGTTAATGGCTTGCAGAAACAATTAAATGTTCTGTCTTCCTTTTGCAAGATACCTGTAAAGGTCCGGGTTAGAATGAACCTTCAGTACCCCATGCTTGTCGTAAGAGGCGACTAACGGGATCGGGTGGTCAGGCTCGCTGACTTGGTTGAAACATGTCATCGGTTCCCAATTGCGCAGATCGATGCTCATGTTGTTGATCACTGGATTGTCTGGTCCAGACTCGATTATTTACAGATCGCCGCAATATAGCTGGAATATTGCTGAGTGCGGCGTCAAACTAAACTCACTCACTCCTTTTGCAAGAAATGGGGTTTAGAAGTCAACTTACAAACAACAAATATCATTGTATTCAGAAACGGAGGTAAAATTGCTAAGCATGAACACTGGGCATATGACAATGTTCCTTTAGAAATTAAGACATAATTATTATAAGCATTTAGGATTAGTTATATATTCCAGATTATCATAGTCAGTATCTTGTAAGCAATTAGCATGTCAAGCCTGTAAGGCTGTTATTCCAGTATATAAATGTTTAAAAAAACGTGTAAATGTTCAATTTTCTACAGCATGTTCTATTTTTTATGGTAAAATTGCACCGATTTTGTTATATGGCGCAAAGATATGGGGCACTAAATATAATGAGACAATAGAGAAAGTCCTGTCATCTTATTTTAAACGCTTTTTACGGGTTGGGAAGTTTGCTTCAAATAAGGCCATTTAGGCGATACAGGGCATTATCCTCTTTTCATCCTCAGCCAAGTTAAAGTGGTTAAATATTGGTGTAAATTATTAAAGATGGAACGACAGCGATATCCTCCTCATCAATGCTATAATTTATTATAAACTCTTGATGATAATGGTAAGACCGGTTGTAATTGGGTTTCAAATGTTAGATCTTTGCTTTTTACTTGTGGGTATTCTTTTGTTTGGATTGCTCAAGACTTTCGTGATGGAGAGGTATTTCTATTTTCATGAAAACAAAGATTACAAGATATGTATTATCAAACCTGGCACAATGGTATTTCATCTTCATCCTTTTTATGTCATTATAATTCGATTAAGTCAGCTATAGAACCAGAAAAATATTTAACGTCACTAGAAAATATACATTTGATAAGAGCCAATTATGTAAATTTAGACTTTCCCTACACAATTTTAATGTCAATTTTTCTAGAAGGTATAAACAAGACGATATTGATCTAATTATATGTGCAAACTGTAAATTGGGCTTTATTGAAGATGTATTTCATGTATTATTAGTTTGTGATAAATATACAGATCTGAGAGAGAAATATCTTCCACATATTAAACATGTCCATAAAATACAATATGTTAATGGTAAATTTATTTAACTCTCAAAATCCTCTTGTTATACATGCAGTTGCATCATTGCTAAAACATATATTTATTGCTAGATAATTACTTTAATTTGTGCTCACGTGAAATTATAAATACATTATTTATTCACTGTAAAATGGGCCATAAGGCCGTATATTACCGTATAAAGACAGTGTCTGTCTGTCTGTCTTTCAAAAGCGATTACTGTACAAACAACTATGGTCACAAGGAAGTGCAAGTGGTGATCATTGTTAAAACGTATATTTATTGCTAGATAATTACTTTAATTTGTGCTCACGTGAAATTATAAATACATTATTTATTAACTGTAAAATGGGCCATAAGGCCGTATATTACCGAATAAAGACAGTGTCTGTGTCTGTCTGTCTGTCTGTCTTTCAAAAGCGATTACTGTACAAACAACTATGGCGCAAGGAAGTGCAAGTGGTGGTGCACTCTCACTCTCTTGATGCAAACATTCATCATTATCATATCAACATTGATTGACTCCGATATATATCCCAGTTGTTTCAAGCTTAAATTAAAAATGAAGTTCCCCTACATTTTCTAAGCGTAGCCTATATTTGGAAATGATGACTTCGAAACACTCATGACGTGGAGGCATTGAAACTGAAGCTATAACTGACAAGCCATAAAAAGTGATGGTGCTGTTGTCACCAGATTTGAACAGCCGTCGAAGGCGGCGCGCGCGCCGTTGGAACTTTCCAGAATGGTTCTATATTGGCATTAGAGTTGACTGCTCTTTGTGTGGACATTCACAAAATATCTGGCTTTTATGGAAACTTTAACCTTTAAATCTTATTTACTTGAACGCCAGACAGCAGTGAATCATGCACTCTCTAATGGCGGCGCCCATCTGCCCACATGGCAAGGATGGAATAAAGTCTCCCTGGGGAGATTACAACATATAACACAATGATATTTACCAGGACTGAAAGTCATATACTGACATATGGTTGAAGCGTATGTTCACCACGTACATTAGTGCGCTAAATATTAATATACCCAACGTGATCAAGTGATGATCTTTCAAAGGAAGCCTTGGGTGTGTGCGTGCGTGTGTGTATGTGTGTGTGCGTACGCGTACGTGTTGTTAAATTGTTGTCCCTATTGTTATTGCTTGAAAATTGCTAAAGGCGGTGTATCTGGAAGATGGTCTCTGCTTCAAGAAAAATTAATTCGCCGTTGTGTAATGACAAATATATGCATGTTCCTAACGTATTTAGAACACCGCATGCCTTTGAAAGAAAAATGTCAAGTATACAAAGAATTATATGAAACGTTAAACGTCGATTTTATAACAAGAAATTCCACTTTTGAAATTCATCGTTTCGTTTTATACTCCGCAATTTAATAAACTAAAATGTCGCTTCCGGTTTTGGGTAACAACCCATTGATTCAAGAGAAGCTACCGACGTTATGTTGTTGTGAAACTAATATATGATTAGACGACTGCTTATTGCAGCTGACGCCTCAAAATTAACGAGGTATTGCTTTGTGGTTTATTATCGACTTAAAATAAGACCGCTGTCAGTAGAGAAGTAGTGCTGGTTTGGTCTTGCAGCGTTCGTCTTCTCATTTGCCTCTCACTGTTCACACGCGGTCGCACTCTCAGTCTGATTATGAGTGTGTTGGAGATTAGGTTTCATGGATTCAATAACAAATTCAAAGGCTGCTAACATATTCAACATTGTTAAAAAATATCATAACGTGAGTCTTAACTGCTGCTGGCAGTAGTCTGTCTCAGTTCCCGAACCGCATTATTTCCCCCTGTCGCCTGATGCTAAAGCCCTAAATGAATCAAGTCTGCATTTGCTCGGGTTCTGAATTTCCCCTCCATTTGTGTCCTTTTCAGTTTAAAAGGAAATAATTGTTTCTGTAAAAATTAAGTATATTAACAGACAAAGTGTTAGTCCAGTGATTGTTGCAAAGAGACTTGTAATTGTCCATCAGCAGCTATATTATTCTTAGCAGAAACATTACAGGACGGAACATTTCTCAAGTAGAATCTATGCACAATACAAACAGATTGTATTATGAAAACAGATTTATTATTCTTAGGAAGATAACCTCAAAAGTTCTTTTCATGCTGAATAGCAGCTGAGGTCACATCTGATTTCAGTAATGTGTTGTCATGACAGTGACCTGAATATCGATCATCTCAAAAAGTATTGTGTTAGTTCCATAATAGTGTCTCATCATTTTCACAAGTAATAGGTAATTTGACATTATCAACCCTCAAATCAGCTTGAAGCATTTTCAGTTGGAATGTTCACATGGTTTTGCAGTCTATTATAGCAAGTAGAAGTATATTCTACCCTGGTCAAGAAAAACCAAGAAGGATTTAAACAGTCATAATACAAACCATACAATGTTTCAGGTCACCGGAAGAGGACACTATCCTACTGCTTCTGACATTCACTTGTCACACTGAAGACCTGAGTTACATTCCCTACAAAAGTACAATGTCTGAAGCATATTTTTGATCTCTGCTGCAATGATATTGCATGAATATTGCTAACACCACACAAATTGAAAAAATACAGACCACTGCCATAGGAATATGCTGAATATAACCCTTTTATTTGCCTGGATGAAAAGCAAAACTACATGTATTTATAAATTTCAACAACTTTAAACTGTGTTGTAATGGTCAAATTGTTAATGAAATACTGGCGGCATTAAACCTTTGACAAAACTGAATTTGTGTTTCAGTCTGCTGTCAACTGCAGATATGTATGGCCGTGGGAGAGGACACAGGGGTGACTCTTGGGGAGGACGCCCGGGCCGTGGGGGCAGAAGCTATGGAGGCAGGAGGCATGACGATGATGGGGACAGACATGGCAGGAGAGACCGAGGCCACTCGAGACATGGTGGCAGAGACTGGAGGGACAGCAATGTGGATGGTAACCATAACAATTTGTCTATACTGTAACAGCCCAGAGAGGATTCTGAGTTAGAACTGGTCTGAAACAAGCAATGCGTTTTGTTCAAGGAGACTTGACATAGACAAAGGTACTATGGGTCAGTGATTTTGTCGATTATGTACCCAATTTCGGTGGATCTGTGCTCTTGATACCAGTCTGCCAGGTCCTGAATGGATCATTTACAGACTGCTACCCTTCTGTGCCCACTTTCACAAAGTGATCTGAGCACTACCATGATCTTGACTACCATACTACAGCATAGAGTTAGACTGTTATAGTGCTAAGAGTGCTTTGTGCATGTGGTCACTGGTGGAATATTTGTTTGATTGGCATTTTAGAAGTTACTAAGTTACTAAGAAACTAAGATTCTTTATGGATAACAACTTCTTTATTACATATAATGCAAGAGTGTCACTATTCCTTGACAACGGTATAAGAATCCATAACGAAACGTCACTTCATATATAGTTGTTATCTATAAAGAATCCTACTTTCTTATTGGTGGAATATTGTGGGGACAGTTCTAACACCTGTGAGAGATTACAGGTTAGAACTGGCAGGGTTAGAACTAAACCTAAAAGTGCCTTCAACTATCACTATCCCACAAACAAAACAAGTAGTCCCTTGATAATGAAATTAACTTTCATTGCTTTATTGTTGTATGTGATAAATGATTTCATTTACTCTTAACTCTTTCAACACCAGTCAACAAGAGTTTTCGACTGCCATGACACCGAGTTCCCAGTCTGAGGTCATTGATGAAGCCTGTGTTTATCAAGGAAAATATCAGCTTGTACAACATTATTGTTACTACATGTCATACACCATTTGAAAGGTCTCATCCTACTGTTTATAAATATGAAAGCTATTTTTTATCATATTATTCAAATAATAAAACTATGTTTTATATAAGTTAATTTTAAATGAAAATGCAAGCTTACACATTTATAATGTCCAGATAAACCACCATGGAAGAAACAAATGTTTGTAACATGACAATATATTCGCTTATTGTTTACTTTTATATTTTCATTTTTACATAATCGGAACATTATTATAAAAAGATTTCTCAAATAACACGTATGGTCGTCTATTTCCCGATATCAATGGCTTCCCGCTCAGTAGCGTGACACAACAGCGGGAAATACCTCCGGTTTCGAAGCAAGGCGTTCTGTTTGATGGCGAGTATCGTTCGAAAGCTCTAAACATCAACAACATTGCCAAGAGTATTTTCACGGTTGTAAGATGCGATTTTAATGGATAAAGATTGGTTAAAGATTGGTTTCTAATGACGCTCTCTTTTTTTGCCACAGTCTGCTATTAATATGGTGTTTGGTCAAAATCATGCACATGACCTAAGGCAGCCAATCATATTACAGCAATGGATATCGTTGTCGTAAACGAAAACTGTGAGATTTAGACGAAAGTTTTGCGTTAAAAAGGTTATTCTGAACGTGTTACGCAAAAATCACCACTTATACGTATATTATGGAACTTAGTGGACGTATCGTGCTAGGTTATCACCTGTGACAAAAATGCTTCATGCATATATTTTAGCATTAAACATAGTGTCCGAGCGTTAAGTTCGAGGCGACGAAAGCCGAGATGTCACTTGGCTTACACTGCACGATCGCACAAAAAAGATGGAAATAGTAATTTATAACATATGTTTGACAACAATACTGTTGTTGATTTTATTCTTTAGATTATTCAATTTGTTTAATGATTTCCTAGAAACATCATTACTTTGCTCTTTGACAACTCTGATGTAGACCCGCTGCCGAATCATGTAATGAGATGCATTTGCATCAGATAGTTATACTCTATCAGGGCCAGTAGTAAATAACTGAATGTGTGGAAATGGATAACTAAAACTGCCAAGTGTTATGAGGGGCATTTGGTGCGAGGCTATAATTTATCAGATAGTTATCCTCTATCGGGGACAGTTGTAATGAACACAAGGTGTGGAAATGGATATCTAAAATTGCACGCTCTTTCCAACCTAAAACGAGAGGTATAGCGAGGGACCACTAAGATGTTTTGAATAAATTGACTCGATGTAGATGTTATCTTGGAGTTCTGCAACATTGGATTCACTAGTCTGGTGGAGAGATGATCTCAATTGTAGTACTTGATGAATAATCACTGAAAAAAACTAGTAGTCCGCCGGACTAGTGCAAGTTTGTTTCCATTCGCCCGACTAAATTTTTACTCGACTCGGGCTTGCGGGCGAGCGTAAAGATCGAACCCTGACTGGTGTTTGAGATTGTGCTTCGGGGTTGATGTTCCAAATTCTATTCTTATCAGACAGGAATACTGCTGAGTATTGTGTATGATATAACTAGTGTGGCGGTATCTTCCAAGATTTCCCTTATCATGCCTGTAACTATCCTCATACAGGTGGCAATGATGGTGAAAGCCACAGTGGTGGTGGTGGTGGTGGTCGGCCCCCTCCTGGTCTTCGAGGGCGAGACATTGGAATGTGGTATGCCAGACGGAGCAAGGAGAAGAAGGAGAAGCAGGACAGAGAACAGGTAGGTGGCTGTCGTGTCAATAGCAGGTTGATGGCTCTAGTGTCAGTAGCAGGTAGGTGTCTCTAGTGTCAGTAGCAGGTAGGTGTCTCTAGTGTCTGTAATGGGTAGGTGGCTCTAGTGTCAGTAGCCGCAGGGTGGCTTTAGTGTCAGTAGCAGGTGCGTGGCTCTAGTGTCTGTAGCAGGTAGGTGACGCTATTGTCTGTAGTAGGTAGGTGGCGCTAGTGTCTGTAGCAGGTAGGTGATGCTATTGTCTGTAGTAGGTAGGTGGCGCTAGTGTCTGTAGCAGGTAGGTGAAGCTATTGTCTGTAGTAGGTAGGTGACGCTATTGTCTGTAGCAGGTGGCTGACTCTAATGTCAGTAGCAGGTTGATGGCTCTAGTGTCAGTAGCAGGTAGGTGACTCAAGTGTCAGTAGCAGGTAGGTGGCTCTAGTGTCAGTAGCAGGTTGATGGCTCTAGTGTCAGTAGCCGGTGGGTGGTGCTAGTGTCAGTAGCTGGTAAGTGGCCCTAGTGTCCCAACCTCCCCGCAGAAGACACTTCGGGTTTCCCAGCAAACCCATGTGCATGGGCTTATTCAGGAGAGTGGCAAGCATGGCACGTCACATGACTGTTTGTGCGGGAAAAGGGAGGCAACTCGTGGGTGAGAGAACTTTTACGTCCGCTCTAGGGAACTCCAAGGGATTCAAGTGTTCCACTAACATTGGCATAGAAGAAGGAGATAAGCAAAAGATCATGAATCAGGATAGGTATAAAATATCAATTTTACTTAAAAAATTACATTATTGTCTGTAGTAGGTAGGTGATGATATTGTCTGTAGCAGGTAGGTCACGCTATTTTCTGCAGCAGGTATTAATCCCTATTTCCAAATTTGTGTAAATATTGGGCTAAGGTGTATACAGATTTTTTAATAACTAAAGAAGCTTTGAATGCAATTATACATATTTACATGTTTATTGATGTTACAATATTTTCTTTTTAGAGACCAACAGTTGCCATGGATTCACAAAGAGAGCACCACATTCGTGACCTCCTTGACAAAATCAACTCCACAGAGCCTCGTGTAGATATGTTCGACAACCCACATATAAGGCCAGCATCACAATCAAACTCACTTGACAACAAAAACTGGGCAGCAAGTTCTCCCCAAGACATGTTCGACAACCCAAATGGAGAGGCCAGCTCTCGGCCACAGGCTGTAGTGAAAGGAGCAAGTGCATTCCCTGAAACTACAGACTTTAGAGATGATAAGGATGAAGATGAGCTAGAAGAGGAAGTGCCATCCATGTCGGCCATTATAGAATATGCAAAAGCTGAGGATGAATTCCCACTGGCCGAGAGTTCTGTTGATTTTGACTGGTTTGTCTTGTGTCTATAATTTTGTTACAAGGGACGTAATAATCATGATAATTTCGTCACTTTGCAATACTCACGGCCTTGTGATTTGGGTTAACAATGCAATTTCTATTCAATCATGTCATGTCAACTTAATGTCAGAAATTAGCCTGACGTGATCTAGTTGTCAGATGTTTACGACTTTTATGAAACCTACATGCATGTTTTCTGAAAAACAAAAAAGAGTAAATGGGAAGAACCATCATTCAAACCCACTGTCGTAGGTTGAACATAGTGATCGTAGGGTATGTTAAGGAGTAGGACAATACAATATTTTTAAACTTATCCTATCTCACAGTATGCACTTCTCTCTCTTGCTTCGACACTGAGTGGAATGATGTAAACTTTTCTCCCAAGGCCTCTCTTGTCCATCCGCCCAAGCACTACATGACAAAAAGACAGCTTCCTAGTTCTCAATGCAGCATGCCCCACTGTCTACCCACCTCCAGTCCTTCAATGGTGGCTAGACAAGCAGAATGTTTGCACAGGAGTCTCTATGTTGCCCTTTGCATCGACTCATCATTTGTTCGTCGATGCATCCCTCACGGCTTCGTTAGCTCACTTCTCGACCACCAAGTGTCCGGGCTGTGGTCATCTGGCGAACAGGTACTTCACATAAACAGGCTGGAATTCAAGGCAGCAAGTCGAGCCATCTTTCTGTGGGCTACAAAGCTTTCATCAACCAGTTTGCTCATGATCATCAAGTCGGATAGTTTGACCATTGTTGCGAACATAAACCATCTAGGTTTGACAGGCTCGGTGAATCTGCTACAGTGGGCGATCAGATTTTTCAATCTCATCAACTCACTCAACATTGCAGCCGGATTAAGATCTGATTTACACCTTGGCGCATCTCCAGAGATTACTCATAGCTAAGGCTACTCTGGTCGAGTAGCCACAGCTATCACTTCAGTTCATCGTACTTCGACCCGTTCCTTGTACAACAATAGTGGAAGAAGTTTGAAGACTGTTGCAAGATTAAGCCTAGGATTTCAAGAAAGGCCTTGGGAGAAAAGTTTACATCATTCCAAGCTACCTGCGAGGTGCAAAAGTTTACTAGTCACAAGACTTATCCCACCGGGTACCCCCTTTTCTGTTGGGTGAACGGAGGCAGTAGCTATGTCAGTAGTGCAGGCATTTAAGGTTACACTGGGCACGAGACGTTCCAGTCATTCTGGATCTTCATGGTCGGGACTCGTCTCGTTCCAGATCTAGACAAGCAACCAATCCTCACCTTTGACGAAGGATGAGGTTCAACAAACCTACTCTTTGCCGCAGATATCATCTCTACAATCACCTTTATGTATTACCAGATAAGCTGGCAATCCAGGAATATTTTACGAACGCTTCACGGAGTCCTGTAATTACAGACAACATTGCTCTGGTGTATACCTGAGGGCAATCATGGCTTGGTTCGTCATCTTCATCATCGTTTTCTGAAGAAAAAAACATCACCAAGCTGTTGGATAGATGGGTGAAGATTCAACACATGGCACCAGCAGTGATGTTTTGTGAAATAGTAAGCATTCCTTGCCTGGATTTTAATGTGATGTGAATACCCCGGTTAACCGAGGACTGTGTGGTCCGGATTTTTAGTCACTGTTGCATCGTGAGTAATAGCATACAAATGGCGGACTACTATTTGTTTAACTGGGAAGTTGATGATCTGAGTGACTATGAAGTGTCCTGACAGATTTTTCTTGGTGCTGATAGCAATCCCAGCCTTTATTTGTCAGTGACAATGATTGGTCCCATTGCCGGTAAGAGTGACTGTATTGGGACTTGTCAGCCAGCGGAAAGACAGCCTACCGAGGGTGTTAGACAAACACACCCTAGAATGCTTCAACAATGATTAAGGTCTCTCGGTTTTCTACATCAGCCCAAGACCTTAGTTCAGAGGTCAGTACAACTGCGTCTGATCCAAGATTTCTACGTCTGCTTTTGAGGTTCAATGATCCCCATGCGCTGATGCTACTATCTTCGTCAGTTTAATGAACGTTCCTGGGATCACCAGTCTTGTTACCTCCATCATTCCATCTACTTTGCAAATGTTCCTGTATATTGATGATCCCAATGCGTCAGTTCTACTACCTTCGTCGAACCTCCTTTGGCGAACAAAACGTTCCTGAGATCCCGATCGTATAACCTTATCACACCATCTACAATGTGAACGTTCCTGTAGATCAATGATGTCAATACGCCGATCTTACTACGTTTGTTACCCCATCAGCACCTTCATGATTGTTCAACGTATTGAACATTCCTATCTCAGGAGAGAACCCTGTGACAGTGGCATTAGTTGCTAGTTCTCCTCACCTGAACTCAAGCCATCAGCTACAACAACGGCCCTTTCAGGGATTCTGCGGCCTTGCCTCATAATTGAGGATCCTAAAGTGCTGATCCAGTTACCACTGTCACTAGATCTGTTCCTTCGTTGATGGCTCATTGAACGGAAAGTCTGCGGAGGAGTTTGTTTGACGCCATTCTGAGTTGGCTGCGATTAGGACCCCATCGCAGGGGCTTATGTATGAAACATGCCACTTTGACACCGATTTTTAGGTCAAGTTAGGCGGGTTGGTTTATGTATGAGATTGGCTTATTTACGGTAATATACGGTGCTGATCCTTTCTCACACGATGGATGCCCGCCCGGCCCCCACACTACTAAGATTACGACTTTGCTCCAAGAACGAGGATGATCAGAGAGCGGTGTTCACGTGAGCATGTAGTGGAGCATGCTGCATGCTTCTCAGGAGACACAGAGGCTGTCCTATATAGGCCAGGAGCCAGGAGCGGAAAATTCACATATTGGTACCACTCAGAGGGACCAAAAGTTTTAGTGATTTTTATATTCCTTTATGTCTATATATATTAAAAAAGTATGATGGACATCTCAATTTGGTAGCTCAAACTCAGAACGAGGCTTAATCAGCAAACATTCAGCAAATAGGTTGGAAATGTAAAAAAGGAGGTAAAATGGTGTCAAAGTGATTAAAAGTATTTAATTAATATCAAGTTTTGTTTAATTGATACCTTTAAATCATATTTTTTCCTGATTTTTAAGAGTCCAAATTGTAAGCTCAAACAACTTTTTCGAAAACTCATCATTTTATTTATTCTAAAGACAGCTCTTTAACTTCAATTAGTGAGAGCACCTTCAAGTTCCTTAAATTGGTTTGTGATAGTCACTGTTCCGCATCATAAAAAACGTCAGCTTCATCATCAGTGTCACTCTTAGGCATGTCATGGTCCTCTCATGTCACAAGTCTGGTTCCGACATGTCACAGTGGCTTTCAGTCCATTGGTAAGGCATTGACAACTTGGCAGTTTACAGGCTGTTGTGTACTTGCAAGAAATGAACACAGGAACAGCATCTGGAGCAAGAGGTCCTGTCATCCACCAAATCTCCATGTGACCATTTTGTTCCACCCATCCATGACCATCTGTTGCCTGTGAAGTTGGATATTCAGCTTCCAGACAGTTGTTCCATATTGCATTTTGATAGCTTGCTTTCAGCATGTGCATAGATAGACAATCAAAGCAGGGTGGCTATTTTCCTGATTCAATTGCCCCTTTCCTAACCTTAAATAAGTGCAAGCGCAATTGATGGACAGCCCATATTTAAGAACTTGAGGCATACAGGTGGCATGTGAATGCTTGAAGTGAGTCAATCAAACCTGGTGGCACAGTCCACTCATTCCCAAGTTGTTGGAAAGCTTCTTGATATCCCTGGCTGTTGAAGAAGTGTGAATGCATTGACCTTCCCTCTACCTCCAAGAACTAATAGTATAACATACAGCATATGTGTGTAGTCCTGACCAAAAGCCGCAGCAACTTTCAAGAGAGAGAGTACAAGACGTGAGATAGGATAAGTATATAAATACACAGTTTATAGTCCAATCTCCAATTGTGAAACCATTATCTATTGGTGATTGTTGGTTATTCAGGTGCGAAGTATGCTGAAGACCCAATGGATGAGACAGATCATCTTAGTGACAGGCTGTTGGATGAGTACAATGAGAAACAGCTGCATGACGACTTCTGCAAGATGATGCAGTTCAGGAAAAAGTTACCCTCTTATGAAATGAGGGAGGTGAGAGGTTTCTTACTGAATCCACAAAACAGACTTAAATATTGACAGACAGCCGCCATATAGCTACAAATTGCTGAGTGTGGTGTTGAACAAAAAAAAATTAAAAATGTTATACCTAATTACAATGAAGAGTACATTTTTTTGCATCATTCACCACAGCAGATATCATGTATGTGTGAGGCCTGCTTTTGCTCTTTAAATAATTGTCTGTAGGAAAAGACAGGTACTCAACATTAAGACAGATTTGCAGCATCTACAGGATACATTGGGTAATCATGCATTGTGTAGTTTTATTATTATTGTTATTCTGAAAAGTTTTCATGCATATTTGTATGCAAGCAACTCTGAATAATGTGTATTGGTGATTTTTTCTGAGCATATTTTACTGAAATATGCAGCCCTCCTGGATCCCTGAAATTTGTGTAGAGTTCCTGAATTGCTACTATGTCAAATGTTTAAAAACTGTTGCGATTTCATTTCAGAAACTGATGGATGACATACGTAATAACCAGGTTGTGGTGATCAGTGGAGAAACTGGCTGTGGGAAAACAACACAGGTCAGTTGTTTGTTCTTGCCACTAGTAATAATTAACTACTGAGATAAAGCCTTTTGGAGTTTTCCCTTTTCAGAACTGGCAACTAAACAGATGGTCAAATTTCCAGACTTTAATTATCCCCCGACACATGGGCTACTGAAGACCAATTCTAACCCAGATCTTCATTGTTTGTATCCAGAAATTGAACATGAGAATGTGTATGTGACTGGTTGTGTGTTGTCAGGTCCCACAGTTTATCCTGGACGACCATATTGAGCTGGGGATCGGGTCTCAGTGCCGAGTCATCTGTACACAGCCCAGGAGGATTAGTGCAATATCGGTGAGTTACATGTTAACAGAGTCACACATGATAATACAGTACATAATAGCAAACACAAGCCTAAATATGAAAATTGCTTGGTAATATAGTAACACAACATCACAGTTGCACTGTAACACACATATTGTTAATACCCCATACTCCTTTTATCATGCAACATCAATAAGCTTTATGCCGATGGTAATCCACTGTGTTGTTAATACACGTTCAGCAAATCAACAGGAGAGCCGAGATACCGGATGCCGGTTTAGAGAGCCTTAATTACTGTAGACACAGTCATTTGGGTGGTCTTTGTTGTGTCGAAATACGGAATAGTCTGACGCCGGATTAGAGTGCGTGTTAATGATCATAAATTAACTAGCTTCTATCGGGACCAAATTCTAGTGCCGATATTGAGAGCATGCCAGATTGGAGGGCTGCTGGTTTTGAGAGCTTCCACTGCATTGACACAGTGACATGAAAGAAGTCACAGGTTGATAAAGTCACATAACACATTCTCATGATAACATACACACCATGCAATCACAGTGTAATGACCACGCAATAACCATGTCGCCCAGTCACACAGAAAATATTTACATGTTGCCATATTGTTGCACACTAACATGAAAACAGTAGCATTACCACCAAGTCTGTAAGCCATGATGACAGCTTGACAACAGTCACAATATTACAATGATATGACAATTCCTGAAGACTAAAACTTAATATTAATATTTGTGTGTGTGTCCTGTGTTTAAATATTTTCATTGTTTCACGTTAACACTGGTAACCATAATTATCTTCTCCAGGTGGCAGAGAGAGTGGCGGCAGAGCGGTGTGAGAGATGTGGGGGATCAGACAGCAGTGTGGGGTACCAGATACGTCTAGAATAGTGAGTTTCAGTCCAACAATTACTTCCTGAATTCTATACAAAAGATCTATAGCTCGATGATGATTCACACATATATGAGTAGTTGTCGAACAGTGGAATCTGTCTTGTCTAGACTAATATGGAATCACACATTTATTCTAATTTACACAGAGGTCCAGATTAGTGAGGTTATTGCAGGAGATAAGAAAAATAAATATCCCAGAGTAGTAGGAGGAAAAAACACTCAAAGAAGATCTTGTTATGTTTGAATTGTGGTAAGTACTGGTGCTAGTGCTGAAAGAACAGTGTAATGTCTTTGAACACCTATTCTTGGGTGATTCTTGTGATTGGGTTCAGGGTAGTTACATAATATGGTGGAAATATAATACACTGGATCACCAAAGATGGCTACCATGTGCAACACCTTGTGATCGAGGCCAAGCCAGTGCTCCGTAACATAACTGTTAATGTTCCAGACTTTAGAATAATCAACTGTAACTCTCTTACTCACAGAAGGGTGATGATGATGATGATGATGTTCTATTTTGCAGCAGATTGCCACGAAAGAATGGCTCTATTCTGTACTGCACAACTGGAATTGTCCTCAAGTTTCTTGAATCTGACCCGTGAGTATTTGCTGAAGTGATTAATTTGTCACAATATGTGCAGATTCATCCAGCATTGTATTATATTTAGTTATAGTCAGGGCAGAATTTCTTAAAAGATGGTACTACTTCCCTGCTTGGCATTCAGCATTAAGAAGCAGGGTATCCAAGTGGACTTGCACTATAATACCTGCATTAGTCTGGAGTTCTACAAGCAGCCACACATGCATAAACATTGCCATTTGAGTGACCTAATCTTGTACCAAATGTTAACCTTGATTGACCTCACCTTATAACCTGTGAAGATGCCGGTTAGAATTGGTTTTCACCAACCCATGCTTGTTGTACAAGGCGACTGTTAAGATCATGTGGTCAGGCATGCTGACTTGGTTGGCACATCCCGTTGCATTATGTTCATGCTGTTGATCACATGATTGTCTGGTCCAGACTTGATAAAACCTAACTTGATAGAAATGTTGTCACTAAGTTATCAGCCATCTTCACACACAGCCAAGTACTAGAGTCAAGGGTATAATATACATTGTTCACTGATTTCTGCCTCTCCACAACATGTAAATATGGATCCTCAGTGTATAGTTTGGGGTTGAATGCCTGGACCATCTGTTACTGCAGATATACTATATAGGGGCAGGGGCGGTGGGGTAGTCCAGCAGTTAAAGCGTTCCCTCATCACGCCGAAGGCCCCAGTTCAATTTCCCACTTGGGTACAATGTGTGAAGCCCATTTCTGGTGTCCACTGTGATATTGCTGGAATATTGCTAGAAGTAGCCTTGAACTCACTCACTCACTCACTAGAGGGGTCTATTCAACCCCAATTTATCTCCAATGGGTTATTGCACCTTGTGAAGGACCAGGGCTTATAAATACAGAAAGTGTAAGTTTAATGAAGGCTATATGCGTTCTGTTGTCTCCAGGCTTCTACAGAGAGCGACCCACATTGTCCTGGATGAGATACATGAGCGTGACCTTCAGTCGGACTTCCTCATGATCATTCTCAAGGACATTCTACCTCGCCGACCTGACCTCAAGGTCATACTAATGAGTGCCACACTAAATGCAGCGATGTTCTCAAAATATTTCAGTGAGTATTTCTTGAAAATGTGATGATATTCTTCAGAGAGTGCGAACTGCACATTGCTTTTGCAATGAGCTTATTTGAAAAGGACCCCGCTGTCATATGTTACCATATGTCATTACATTATGTTGAAATGTCAGTTATGATCATCACATGTTTCATACACATGAGAAATATTTTTTGCAAATAACAGTGAACATTTCGACCACCATCATCAGCAACAAAGGTTATCCGTACATATGAATCGAAATGGAAATATTTTACACCTACATCTTTGCTGTATGTTGATTTGTTCTGTCTTCAGATGACTGCCCCCAGCTGAACATCCCTGGCTATACGTTCCCTGTGGAAGAATTCCTGTTGGAGGACGTTATTGAAATGCTGAAGTAAGAGCCTTACTCCCACAATACAAAGCTTCACTATATTCTGCACTCACCATAGGGAGCGGCGGTGTGGTAGCCCTGTGGTTAAAGTGTTTGCTTGTCACACCGAAGGCCCGGGTTCGATTCCCCACATGGGCACAATGTGTTAAGCCCATTTCTGGTGTCCCCCGCCGTGATATTGCTAAAAGCGGCGTAAAACTAAACTCAGTCAGTCAGTCAGTCTGCACTCACCATAGGGCGGGGCGGTGTGGTAGCCCAGTGGTTAAAGTGTTCGCTTGTCACACCGAAGGCCCGGGTTTGATTCCCAACATGGGTACATTGTGTGCAGCCCATTTCTGATGGCAACCGCCGTGATATAACTAAAAGCGGCTTAAAACCCAACTCACTCGCTCACTCACCATAGGAACATAACTTTACTCTGTAATCACAACATAGAGCCTTACTTTACTCTGCATTCACCATAGTTAACCTCACAGCTTTCATAAATGGGACCCTCATGTTACACTGCATTCTTAATAGGGACAGGGCGGTGGGGTAGCCTAATGGTTAAAGCGTTGGCTCGTCACGCCAAAGACCCGGCTTCGAATCCCCACTTGGGTACAATGTGTGAAGCCCATTTCTGGTGTCCCCCGCCGTGATGTTGCTGGAATATTGCTCAAAGCGGCGTAAAACCAAACTCAGGCAGTCAGTCTTAATAGATACCTTCAAATCGCATATTGTTAGGGAATAAATTGTGTAGAAGGTTGCATTTGGAACCAAACATGTAGCTGTTCCAAGGTGTTAGGAACCATCAGAGCTTTTTCCAAATTCATGGTAAACTCTGGAATATATAGTGTGTCATATGGAGTAGCAGAGGTCGAGATGAGTGAGATCTTGTAGTTAACTTGTCTTTCTTCCTGTCAGGTATCAGCCTGATTCAAGTCAGCCACAGCGTCGACGTCCCAGAGGGAAGCGGAGTCGTGATGCAGATGAAGAGCGATGGAACTTTGAGGTCTGGTGCAGAAACCTGGAAGGGAGGTAACTCTACCATTTCAATACCTTCACCAGACATTGTAATGCATTTCATTGCTTGTGCATTGCTGAGTGTGATAGCAAAACAACAAACACACAATAAATACTGTGAAACCTTGCTTTGTCTTGACCAGATTATTTCAGGAAGTCTGAATTCTGGATGAATACTACTGGGAATGTATTCAGAGTAACATAGGGGAATGTATTCAGAGTAACATAGGGACCATTAATTATTTATGGCGAGGGGGGATAATGATTTTTATGGAGAAGCATGTACGGTACAATGTGAATGACCCCCATCAGCCCCCAAGCCATAAATCATGGAATATCTTTACAAAAACAGATTAATTTTAGATGAAGAATCTATTCTGATGTTTTGGACAAGATCGCATGCAGTGTTGATGTTCTGTTGCAGTTACTCACGCTCCACCATTACAGCGTTGCAGAACATGGACTTTGATAAAATCGACCTGGATCTAATTGCCGCCCTTATCAGGCATATTACTTTGAATAAGTCGGTGAGTTGTCTCCCTTGGAACACAAATCACAAGGGAAGTAGCCAATGATTGTCAGGGTGAAGACCAGACTGTCGGAAAACTATTGACAAAATATGTTATGAGGGCAAGTTCAAAATAATAGACTTGCATCCAGCCTATAAAATGAACATATTCTGCCAGAAAAATTGTTCTAAAACTATATTCATATTAAAAATATATGAAAAGGGAGCCCAGAGGTAATCTGGATGTGCCACGTTCTAGACTGGGATGAGTACATTTGTTTCAGGGTCTGTTTGACAGACTACTGTCATAGATATGCACTGCTCTTTACTCTATTCAAGATACAGCTGACCGTCTATTTGGTCTAGTGGACAGAACATCTACCCAAATAAGGGCCGGTCACTGGTTTGATTCCATGCCTCATCATTCCAAAAGATGGTTCTTGGTGTCCCCCGCTGTGATATTACTGGAATATTGCTAAAAGCGGTGTAAAATTACACTTAGTCACACTAATGAGGGTATCTGTTTGTCATGATGAGGAACGTTATATATGTCTCTACCTTTATCTAGGAGGGAGCAATCCTGGTGTTTGTCCCTGGCTGGGAAGAGATCAGCAAACTCCATAAGATGATGCAGGCAGACAGGATGTACAGCTCAGGTGAGTTAGCTCCCCCTACTGGCAAATACAACCACTAGAGGGACTGAAATGATGGCAGTCACAGGGTCTTCTTTCCTTTCTGTTTGTAAATCCTGGGGACCCAGAGGCATGGTGGTTGGTTCCACTGACCAAACTACAAATACAACATATGGTATTTGTCAAACCTTACACAATGTATTGGATTCAATATGCATTTGTTTGTAAGGCTGCATTGAAGAAAGTTATATTTTTTTCAGTTTTGAACTTTGAGCTCCTTCTCCCCATAAAGCAGAACTTTTCATGCATCAGATAAATTGTGCTTAGAATGAAATACTCTCTACAGAAAATTTCTAACTAAATAAGGTGGGAGGAATACACAATGCCATTCATTCAGGAAGTAGTCCAATGTAAGACATGTTGTATTTAGGATTACACTTTCTCAGTAAAGTACAGATTCTAGTACTTTTGTTGAAGCTGCGGTGACGGACTGGGATAGGTGGCAGACTGTGTGCTGGTGATTAGGTGCCTGACTCTGATGGTGTGTGTTTGAATCCCAGATGGGACTCAAACCAACAAATTACTAGAATCTGTACTGTACTGAGAAAGTGTAATCCTTAACATTACGTGTTATGAATAAGGTGGTTGTAGTCCAGTTGATAGAGATTCATCAGGGTTCTTGTTAATTTCTGACTGTTGGTGCATGTGTGATCTCACTCATTGTTCTACTTGTTTCAGACAAGTTCCGTATCATTCCACTTCACTCACTCATGCCAACAGTCAATCAGAGGGAGGTGTTCAATAGACCACCACCTGGTGTCAGGAAGGTTGTCATAGCAACAAATATTGCTGAAACAAGGTTTGTTGATTTCAATGTTACTGAGTATTTTGTAGATGTAACAAGTATGTACAGAATTAATTCATGGTAGGAAGCATGACATGATAGGTCATTTTATTATCTTACAACAATCTTACTATCTCCAGCACTTAAGTTGTCTATGATAGTGAACAGATTGATTTTATTTTCCTCTCTTTCTGTTTTGTTTCACACTAAATGTGCCCCAGGAGCAGTCTGAATTGTACTTCAGTAACCCATGCTTGTCGTAAGAGGCGATTAACGGGATCGGGTGGTCAGGCTCGCTGGCTTGGTTGACACATGTCATCACTTCCCAACTGCACAGATCGATGCTCATGCAGTTGATCACTGGATTGTGTGGTCCAGACTCGATTATTTACAGACCACCACCATCTAGCTGGAATATTGCTGAGTGCAGCGTAAAACTAAACTCACTCACTCTGAAATGTTCATGGCTGTTTGTAGCACTCACAGTTTGAAATCTATCACTGACTGTTCCTTGAATGATATGGGTCTAAACAGCTTTGAATTTTCCTGACCTCTTTCCAAGTAAATAATTATGTATACCTAATGAAAAGATATCTTTTTTAATTTTGAATTAATACTGTTAAAATTTCCCAAGAAAACAGCATATGTATGACCTGTTTCATGTCTGTAACTATGTCTGGTGTTTGAAGTCTAGCCAGTTATCATGGCCATGATCTGGGTGGAATTGGGCCTTGTATACATTTCAAAATTTGTCACAAAAATTCTGTACTAACTCAGGGATTGGAAAGATCACCAGCACTTTATTGCTTCATGTTAAAGATGACTGAATTGGATTGGTTGGTCTTGGTTACTTCTGTGTCATTGTACCCCGTTACCATCTGGCCAAGTTTTGTAAGGCTTGCTTGGTTATTGCTGTGTCATTCCTGACTCTGGTATTGTGTGTTTCAGTATTACTATCGATGACATCGTGTATGTGATCGACTGTGGCAAGATCAAAGTGAAGGACTTCCAGCCAGAGAACAACCTCAGCACTCTGGAGGCCAAGTGGGTCTCCAAGGCCAACTCAAAACAGAGGCGTGGTCGAGCTGGCAGGTGGGTGGTGGTAGTTGTTAGTCATGCACGGAGGCTCAGTGGGTCTCCAAGGCCAACTCAAAACAGAGGCGTGGCCAAGCTGGCAGGTGGTAGTCATTAGTCATGTCTACGGAGGCCAATTTGTTATCCATGAGGCCAACTCAAAAACAGGCAGAAATACTTAAGCTGGAATGGTGGTAGTCAAGGTGGAAAATGTCAATGGATGAGACTTCCATTCCAAGGCCAACTCAAAACAGAGTGGCCAAGCTGGCAGGTGGGTGGTGGTAGTTGTTAGTCATTTAAAGAGGCCAAGTGGGTCTCAAAGCCAACTCAAAAAAAGAGGCGTGGTCGAGCTGGGAGGTGGTAGTCATTAGTCATGTAATGGAGGCCAAGTGGGTCTCCAAGGCCAACTCAAAACAGAGGCGTGAGAGTGGCAGGTGGGAGGTGGTAGTTGTTAGTCATGTACAGGAGGTCAAGTGGGTCTCAAGGCCAACTCAAAACAGAGTGGTCGAGCTGGCAGGTGGGTGGTGGTAATTGTTAGTCATGTATGCGGATGCCAAGTGGGTCTCCAAGGCCAACTCAAAACAGAGGCGGTCGAGCTGGCAGGTGGGTGGTGGTCATTGTTAGTCATGTCACGGAGGCCAAGTTGTTATCCAAGGCCAACTCAAAACAGGCGTGGTCGAGCTGGCAGGTGGGTGGTGGTAGTTGTTAGTTATGTACGGAGGCCAAGTGGGTCTCCAAGGCCAACTCAAAACAGAGGCGTGGCCGAACTGGCAGGTGGGTGGTGGTAGTTGTTAGTCATGTACGGAGGCCAAGTGGCTCTCCAAGGCCAACTCAAAACAGAGGCGTGGTCGAGCTGGCAGGTGGGCGGTGGTAGTTGTTAGTCATGTCAAAACAGAGGAGGCCACCAGTGGGTCTCCAAGGCCAACTCAAAACAGAGTGGTCGGTGGAGCTGGCAGGTGGCGGTGGTAGTCATTAGTTATGCGGATGTTGCAAGGCCAAGTGTCTCTCAAGGCCAACTCAAAACAGTGGCATTGGTCGAACTGGCAGGTGGGTGGTGGTAGTTGTTAGTCATGTACGGAGTCTAAGTGGGTCTCCAAGGCCAACTCAAAACAGAGGCGTGGCCGAGCTAGCAGGTGGGAGGTTGTAGTCATTAGTCATGTACGGAGGCCAATTTGTTATCCAAGGCCAACTCAAAACAGAGGCGTGGCCAAGCTGGGAGGCGGTAGTCATTAGTCATGTACGGATGCCAAGTGGGTCTCCAAGGCCAACTCAAAACAGAGGCGTGGTTGAGCTGGCAGGAGGGTGGTGGTAGTAGTTAGCCATGTACGGAGGCCAAGTGGATCAGAAACCTGTTGTCATGGGTTCGATTCCCAGATTCGTAATAATTGGGTTTCATCAAAGTGGTAAACTTTTGCATCACCTCAAAGTTACCTTCACATCAAGCTTAAAACATATGGTACTGTGTATTTGGTGTTAAACTAAACTCACTCACACAATAAGGAACAATGTTCCATATGACATGGAAGCTGACGCCCGTAAATTCTCTCTCTTAATACATGACAATGAGTCAGTTTCTGACGTGATATGAAACTCAACTGTTTCTGGTTCCAGGGTGCAGCCTGGTGTGTGTTACCATCTTTACACAGGACTGAAGTGGACCGAGGTCGATGATTATCTCCCCCCAGAGATTCTGCGGACACGACTTGAGGAACTTTGTCTCCATATCAAGGTCAGACATACCGTACTGTTGCTATTTCAAAAGACATAAAACAAATCAAGCAAAAAGACAGGACACCAATAATACAACTATTTCATGTGAAGGTTTGATCTTCCTAGAAATAAAAAATATACTGTATTCATTGAAAAAAGCTGGAAAATTTCTGGAAACCATTGTCTCTGTTAAGAATTGAAATATACCATTAAAAATAAAATAGGGGATATTCTATTTTGCGAGCATACCACTAGCAGATGCCAGTGCATAGGAGAAAAAGTAAATTTTTCCTTATCCTGACTCATGCTTATTATGCTTGTCTCCTCCTCCTATACGAATGATAGTGGAACACTTGAAATCCCCTGTAGTTCCCTTTAAAGCGGACGTATAAGTACACTCACCCACGAGTTGCCTCCCTTGCATAGTTTCCCGCCAAAACAGTCACATGACTAACCATGCTTGTCACTCTCTCCTCCATCGCCCTGGTGGATGGCTGTGGGAACTTGGGAGTCGCTATACAGCACTATATCCTTTATATTTTGACCCTTAGCCCAAATTTAGCTGTATACGGTTTTCGGTCTGTATTATTATTCAGTGTATATAGGAATTATGTTCAAATTTATGTAAATATTGTTGTTTTCATCACATGTATTTGTTGTTTACATTTGATGAAATCGTGTTCTCTTTGCAGGCACCGACTGTCTGCAGCTGATTCGCACCCCCTTTGTCCTTCTTGTACTAATCAATGCTCTTTCAGCTCTCGATGTCAATATTGCATAAAATTATCTACGTTTCAATTTAATAACTATTTGTTGGCCTTAGTTAGACTTGCTAAGGACAAGGTGCGCAGGTTATGACAAGGCATGGCGGTTAAAACGAGAGATAACGTCAGTAACCGTGTGTTGTCATCTGCAAATGAAACTAATGTTTCTAGTGATTTGCCGGGTTCGTCACAGGAGCAGACTTCTGTTACAAGGAAGAGGGCAGCATCGGCAGAGTTGACTTCATCGCAGTCTAAGAAGCACAAGTCGTCATCTGTGAGTTCACAGAAGAAATCATCTTCGAAGTCTTCCAGTTCTACTAGACCTGCTCATCAGACGTCATTCAACGAAGATATCGTCCCCCCAGCAGAGGCAGACATCTTCCATGACCCTCCGATTTTGCTGCCTTAGTCAGCAAAGTGTCGCAACAACTGTCGTCGGCCAGATCTACGTCTTCAGCCGCCGGATGCGTCGTCTACTCCTCATCAGTCAGCGCAGAACTTTGACCAGGGTGCATTTATGAAGCAATTCACCCAACAGATGCTGTCCTTGATGGAACAGAGGTTCGCCGAAGAGAAGAGGTTACAGCAAGCATCGGCCACTCCACAGGATTCAGCACTCGTGGATCTTCAGTCGGCGAACACAGCAGTCATGGATCATCATTTGACGAATGCAGTCACGACGCAGGATCACCAGCGTTCGAGAACGTCTTCACCTGCTGAGGATTCAATGTTCTGCAGTCGAGAGGGATCTACGAATGCCAATGAGGAGAATACAGTTTGAGAACGTCGCCGTTCCATCTCCAGGGAATCTCCTCCGAGGCGCGAACGCACCACGTCAGTATCAAGCAGATCTTACCGTCATAGATCTACTTCACCAGCCTACAGAGAGGATCCTAGGAAGGACTTGAGATTGGAGCAAGTCGCGAAAGGATCATTTGTGAAGACACATCCTCGTCAGGACAAAGATGAAGAGAGCGATGGAAGATCTTCGTCAGACAAAGATGCAAAGCGATTACGTCATGATGCAAAAGGCATGGAGTGGTCTCGATTTAGCATCTCCATCAAAGAATGGAATGAAGCACTCACTTACAGAATGGTTGATGATAACTTTGATTCGCTAATGATCCCGCCTATTGAGCCTATCGTAGGAGTCCCGGCAAGCCTCAGTTTAGCCTTCGCGAAAGCAACGAAGTCGCAGAACCAGCATGTGCCAGTTTTTAATGCGCAAAGATTCCCTCTTCACCACATGGAGCCATTTATGAGAGCACCGGACTTGTATGAGAATTACAGAAAATTATATAAAGTGGAAGATAAGAAGATTGCAAAGTTGGACACCACAACTAGACGCACATTCTTTGGCCTGGCTAGATCGAGAGCAATCAACGAGGCACTCATTGCAAAGTTCCAGAACTCTCATGAAGAAGAGGATAGGATGATCTTATCTGCACTTCACCCAGAAGAGGGATCAACAGTTCATGTGGGACCACTTGTCATCTATATCTGCGGGCCTTACGGCTGTTAAGAAGACAGGGTCTTCTGTCATCCTGTAACTGTAGCGAAAGATACTCCTGAGAGCCCCATGGAAGTCAATCGACACCGTAGCGAATGTCATCCAGCCAGACATCTCATCGTTACAGCAACAAATCCAAGTTCAGCGAATATCCAGAAGGCCAAGGAGAGGAAATATTCCAGTTCCAGAGGAGCAAGAGGTTCCTTTCATGGGGCCAGCTGGGCATGCCTGGGGGCGAGGACACCCCAGAGGCTCCAGGGAATCGAGACGTCTGCAACGGTACTTGGAAAATTGGGGAATACTACAAGACAACTATGTATCACAGATCCTTCGAGAAGGTTACAGAGTTCAACTGAAAGCCACGCTTCCATTGACCAACAGGCCGCTCATCTTCAAGTACGCAGACGAGCAAGCAGAGAAGCTGGGAGAGGCCATCAACACTCTGCTAGAAAAGGATGCTGTCGAGATATTGGATCAAGATCGTCTAACGCCCGGATTCTATTCGCCAATTTTCCTGGGAAGAATTCCAAGGAGAAGTTCAGGCTGATCTACAACATGAAAAAGTTCAACCTAGATTACCTCCTCAAACCTGAGAAGTTCAAGATGATCCATCTTCCTCAACTACGGCGTCTTATTCATCCAGCAGATTATTTAGCCAGCATAGACCTGCAGGATGCGTACCTACACATCCCCATACATCAGGACTCAAGAAAGTATCTGCGATTCCTGTTCCAAGGTCGACATTTCCAGTGGAAAGTCCTGCCGTTTGGAATATCTTCGGCCCCATGGTTGTTTACACGAGTAACCAAGCCTATAGTCGCCTTTCCACATCATCAAGGTCTACGCAGTGCTTTCTACCTGGACGACGGTATTCAAGCTCATCAGGAAGCCAGTCAGCTCAAGCTACAACTGGACTTCACCATCAGGCTACTAACGCAACTGGGTTGGCTAGTAAATCTACGGAAATCGGAATTGGAACCCACATAGGATCTACAATTCCAAGGGATAAGATTTGTCACAACAGAAAATCACATCGTAGTCCCAGAAGATCGTTTGATCAAGATACAAGCCATGATCCCGAACATGGCAGCAGTCACCTCTCTCCGTTGAATCGCAGCCGAACATTGGCAGCGATTTCTGGATTTCTGAGCACCTCCTCAGTTGATTTAACTCCCAGTGGAAGATTCTACAACCGTTGCTGTTATTCTGACGCTCACACCTCAGCAATACAGAGCAGATAAACTTACCAGAGAATCTACAACCATTCCTGTTATGGTGGACTCACAAGTCTGCAATGCATGCGGAGGAACTTATGAGAGCAAGAGTAGCTTCAGGACACACATCTGGTCGGAAAGGGGCGACATCTGCACAGGAATCAGCTACACCTGAAAGCAAGTCATAGCTGCAGGACAACAGTGGTCGGAAGTCTCTGATCAACAAAGTATTGACAGTGCACAGTGGCATTTTACATCAACAAACAGGGCTCAACAAGATCAGCAAGTCTGTTACATCTCATATTTCATCTGTTCGACATTGTGGACAAGTTGAACATCTGGATAAAGGGCGTGTCACATTCCCGGAGCAAAGAACATCCTAGCAGATGCTCTGTCTCGACCACAGCAACCATCCCCGACTGAATGGATGCTTCATCCGGAGGCGTTTCATCTCATCATAAGGACGCTAGGAACTCCACTTATAGATCTGTTCGCCACAAGGTTCAACAGACGGATACAGACGTTCATCTCACCGGTACGAGATCCGCTAGCATGGACAACTGACGCATTGAACATGTCGTGGGAAGGAATAAACGCATACGCGTTTCCACCCCCGGTTCTAATCCTGCAAGTACTCGAGAAAATCAGGCAGACTACAGTCCTCCAACTGATTTTGGTCGCGCCCTTTTGGCCAGCGAGAGTGTGGTTTCCAGATCTCATTCAAGAACTAGGAATGCCAACCCTGAAACTACCAGAATGGCCAAACCTACTGGTTCATCCGCACACCAAGCAAGTTCACAGGAATCCGGCAGTGTTCCAGCTTCACACATGGACATGCTTGAGGAAGAGAGGTTATTCCGCCAGAGCAGCGAAAGCGGTCACTCTAGCTCTTCGCAGATCTACTCGCAACCTGTATGATGATAAATGGCAGAGGTTTCAACAATATGTTCGGCGCAAGGGTTTCACAGCAATGAAAGCATCTCATCCTCAAGTGGCAGATTACTTAAGTCATCTAAGACCTGAGATTGAAAGGTTTGACCTTATCGACCTACTTGGCGGCTATTAGCACAGTACTGACAATGAAGACAGGCAGTAAATTAAAGGTACCAGAACTACTGGCCTTATCTTTTAAACTAGGGGTGGTGGGGTAGGCTATTAGCACAGTACCTGAATCCCCACATGAAGACAGAGCCCATTTCTAAATTACCCTGCCGTGATATTGCTGGAATATTGCTAAAAGCGGCGCGAAACCAAACTCAGTCAGTCAGTCTTTTAAACTGGAGGATCAGCAAAAGAAATTCAAGGCACCTGCGTGGGATCTCCATGTAGTTTTACAACATCTCACCAGCAATACTTACGAGCCGTTAGAGTAAACGTCACTCAAACTACTTACGCAGAAAACGCTGTTTCTACTTGCCTTAGCCACGGCAGCTCGAGTATCAGAGATACATGCGCTGGATTTTGGACTAATTCGGTTCGACACAGGACATCGTGCGGTAGCACATTTAGGACTTAGATGGGATTTTGTGGCAAAGAATCAGCTACCATGTACCAGCATTATCAACAATCCTCGGACAGGAGGATGTACAGGATTTATCTCTATGTCCGGTCAGAGCATTGAAAATTTACCTTAACCGGAAAAGAACTAGAAGACAGAAGTTCAAGCGCCTGTTCATCCCGTTGTCTACAGTGACATCCACAGAAGTCTCCAGAACAACAATATCTTTATGGATGAGAGCCGTTATACTAAGGGCGTACAAAGCAGCAGGACTGCCACCTCCGAGTGCATCCAACCCACACGAAGTTAGAGCTTTGGCATCTACTCTCGCTCTGCATGGACATTGCTCGATAGCATCAATAATGGAGGGCTGCTTTTGGAAATCTGATACGGTGTTTGCCAACCACTACCTGAGAGACATTGCCACCGAAGACGTCTCCGCATTCACCAGTTTGGGCCACTGGTTGTTGCACAACAACTAACGGTTCCACAGCGGCGTTGAATTGAAAATCTCACCCTCTTATCACGTGACTTGCTGATAACCTTCGCTCTGGAGAGTCTTGGTTGAGAGTCCATGTTTACGTCTAGAACAGACTAACATGAGTGATTTAGACCCTGTACTTGTACGGAAGTACTCGTACGCGAAAAGGGTTACAACTCTTACGATAAGAAGATACTTCTTATATGAGTTGTTATAGATATCTAGCAAGGATACACTAGTATATCTTAAATCCACATGAATCGTAGATTCACTTGTCTTAAAGAAGTCTGGCAAGATGTGGTACCCCCGAGTTGGCAGATGGAAGTTGGAAGAACAGGATTGTCGAGAAGTGCCGTATGATAGTTCCCATGGGGGTAGATACAGGACGTATTTAGGACAGCCAATAAATCCGAGAAGGTGACCTGACCCACCACCAATCCGTCAGATTGTGGAAGCATAATAAGCATGAGTCAGGATAAGGAAAAATATGTAATTTTCTGAATAAAATTTATATTTTATACTTATCCTGATCATGATGTCAAGCCCTCCCAACCTCCCCACTGATGGCACTTCGGATTTCATGGTAAATCCACGTGTCGGGTATATTACGGAGAGAGTGACAAGCAGGGTTAGTCATGTGAATGTTTTGGCGGGAAACTATGCAAGGGAGGCAACTCGTGGGTGAGTGTACTTATGCGTCCGCTTTAAAGGGAACTACAAGGGATTTCAAGTGTTCCACTATTATTCGCATAGAAGGAGGAGACAAGCATAATAAGCATGAGTCAGGATAAGTATAAAATATAAATTTTATTCAGAAAATTACATTATGTATCTTTACAGTTGAAACATTTCCAAAGGAATAGAATAAATTGTCACATTTTCCATTAATTTCTCTTCATCATCTGTTTCCTCCTTGGCTTCATCATTTGCATTTTATCAGTCTTGCAAATCCAATATCCCCTACTTTTTTTGAATGGTATATTTACTATATTAAGTTCACAAGTAAGAACAATAGAATATTGTGTTGCAATGTATTTCAGTATGTTTCTTTGTGTCAGGATGATAGTTTTAGAATTGTGGTCTTTGTTTTTCAGTTGTTGAAGCTGGGGAAGATTGAACCGTTTATATCTAAGGCGATCCAGCAGCCATCTATGGAGGCTTTACACAGGGCAATCATTACATTGCAGAATTTGGTGAGTTTCTGACTGACATCATGCGAGGATAGGGGACAGTTGTACTGTGACAGTCAAAGGGAGATAACTTTGCAGCCTATTTTTCAAATGTTCTATCTCTCATTTGACCAACTTGACACTTGCAGTTTAGTTGTTTGTGTGTGTTTTTGTTGTATAATGACACACTCATCAATGTTCCAGCTTACAGTTTAAGAGCTTTAAGTCTTGTGATGATGATCTTAAGAGGGCGGTGGTGTAGCCTAGTGGTTAAAGCGACAGCGTGTCACGCTGAAGCCATGGGTTCGATTCCCCACATGGGTACAATGTGTGAAGCCTATTTCTGGTGTCACCTGCCGTGATATTGCTGGAATATTGTTAAAAGCGGCCTAAAACCACACTCACTTACTCACTAATCTTAAGATGTTATATGTATGAGATCCTATTGCTTTTATAGAGACTCGTGTGTCACATTAGGCAATAAGTGTCCCAGCAGGTATAGTTTTCACTCCACATACTTGTCAAGATGATCGTAAGCTTGTGATTCTGAAGTAATTCTGTTATAATTCATGTATATTCCCAGAATGCCTTGGACAAGGATGAGAATCTACTTCCTCTAGGCTATCATCTGGCCCGTATGCCAGTAGACCCTCACACTGGGAAGATGATCCTATTCGGCGCTATGTTCTGCTGTCTGGACCCCATCCTGACTGTTGCTGCCAGCCTCAGCTTCAAGGATGCTTTCTTTATACCTCTGGTTGGTACAACTTATCATCTTACGTTTTTACCTTGAAATAAGTAGGCTGCAAACATTTAATGTTTTGGGTGATCTTAATAATCATCAGGCTCCTGTTTTGCTGACAAAGATTTACATATGTGGTACTTTTTTGGGGAAAAATATTACGTGTCTTTTCCTTAAAACAATACTGTTAGATATTTATATTCATGATGTAGCCTAGTAGTTAAAATGTTTGTTTGTCATACCGAAGACCTGGGTTTGATTCCACATGGGTACAGTGTGTGAAACCCATTTCCAATGTCCCCCGCTGTGATATTCCTCTAAGATTGCTATAAGCGACATATAACCACTCACTCACTCATTTACTCACTCACTCACTCCAAAGATAAGAAGATCAAGTTGGGTTTAACTGACTGTTATTGTTTTCTAACTGTGTATTTTTGTTGTTTTCAAAATCTCCACACCAGTCTCATTCTGATTTAAAACAGCCCCCCTAGCAACTTACCCTGGTTGTAAGTCAAACAGATCATGCAGTCAGGCCAGGGTTTCATGGTTCACTGTATGCCATCATACCCCAATGTTGTCGGACCTTGCTTGTATTATGAATCACTGGTTTATGTTCTCAAGATGTAGAAATATTTGCATTACGTTCACCATTTCACAGCTCAGTACTAGGTTGTTGGAAGAGCTGTCTAACATGGAAGTTTCCTGTTACCCATACTGCTCCTTTTGCTCAATGGCTGCTCATGGCCTCATAGTTGATTGCATGTAATCATAGACAGAGGGTCTGGATCATTGCCAGCCAGTCACTGATTTCCCTGATTATTTACAGACTGCCATCACATATCTTGATATTACTTAATGTGGTGTTAAACAACCACCAAATATACATGTGGCATACCATCAAGATACCTTGACATTTCCCCAGGGCAAGGAGGAGGAAGCTGACCGGGCACGGAAGTGCGCTGTCTGAGGATTCCAAGAGTGACCACATCATGCTCATCAAGGCATTTGAGGTATGGACAGAATTATTTCATGTTTTACTGCTTCAGTAGAAATGGCTTTAATAATATGAGAGGGAAATGTGGAATCTACTCTTAGCCATGCTGATTGGAATTTTTAAAAATTGGGTTGGCTTTCAAATTGTAAATAAAAATTCTCAGAAATATATAATTAAATATTTATTCCCATCTGCTTATAGTATAGGTCAACGAATTTGTTGTGCTTGATGTAGGGGAAGTGGGGTAGCCTAGTGGTTAAAGCGTTTGCTCATCACGCCGGAGGCCCGGGTTCGATTCCCCACATGGGTACAATGTGTGAAGCCCATTTCTGGTGTCCCCCGCCGTGATATTGCTGGAATATTGCTAAAAGTGGCGTAATAGCCAACTCACTCACTCACACACTGTACTTGATGTAATGGCCATCCGACCAGAATCAATGTTGTGTTTTGTTTTAAGTATTTGATTGGTTTAAAAACAATTGCTGCAAATACTAGTAGTCATTGCTTGTAAAAATTGTTATTCCATATCAGGGCTGGGAGCGGGCAAAATCCCGAGGAAATGATCGAGACTACTGCTGGCAGAACTTCTTGTCTCCAAGCACATTGCGGGTAAGTGCATCTTGGGAACCTTCTACAACATTCTGGGAACAGTTATGAGAGCCAGTTATGATGCCTTGTGTCTCACTGTTGATCAAATGCTTGTTGTAAATTGGGAAGCACTTCTAATATATTTTTATGTATGTGTGCTTAAAATTCTTCTAAAATGCTGCTTTTCATGTTGTGACATTATTAATAGAAAAAGATCAATGCTAAGAGGCAAGATTACAATAACAAATTTACAGGCAGTCTAAATGCAAGTGATATTGATAGCAAAAAATCTAATTTCAGAACAACTGATCATGTCTGTCCTTTTTTTGGTGACAAATATGTATAGTAAAAGTGTGCAAAGAATAGTATAAATCTGTGCCAAACATTCTGTCATTGTGTGTACTGCTGCATAGATAAGTTTACGATATGATCAATACAGCGCACAATACCTGAAACTTGTCTGAGGTAATTTCTGAATAGTGTTGCCTTGGCAGTGCAATGGAAATTCTACAGTCTTATATGACTGTTGACAAACTGATGTGTACAATATAGTATGTGGGTGAACATGCTGTTGACAATCTGGTGCATTACTGTACATATGACTGTTGACAATCTGATGTGTCACTGTACAGCTTGCTGTTGACAATCTGGTGTGTCACTATACAGCTTGCTGTTGACAATCTGGTGTCACTGTACAGCTTGCTGTTGACAATCTGTTGTGTTACTGTACAGCTTGCTGTTGACAATCTGGTGCATTACTGTACATCTGGCTGTTGACAATCTGGTGTGTAACTACTGCTTGCTGTTGACAATCCGGTGTGTAACTGTACTGCTTGCTGTTGACAATCTTGTGTGTAACTGTACTGCTTGCTGTTGACAATCTGGTGCATTACTGTACATCTGGCTGTTGACAAACTGATCTGTACAATATAGTGTGTAGGTGAATAGCGTGCTGTTGACAATTGGGTGTGTAACTGTACAGCTTGCTGTTTGCATTCTGGTGTGTTTCTGTACAGCTGGCTGTTGACAAACTGATCTGTACAATTTAGTGTGTAATTATCCAGCTTGCCATTACAGCTGTTGACAGACAATATAGTGCGTAATTATCTAGCTTGCCATTACAGCTGTTGACAGACAATATAGTGCGTAATTATCCAGCTTGCCATTACAGGTGTTGACAGACAATATAGTGAGTAATTATCCAGCTTGCCATTACAGCTGTTGAAGGACATGAAGGGGCAGCTGGCCCAGCTGTTACTGGAGCTGGGGTTCATCAAAAACAAGAATCCGAAAGACCTGGCTGTCAATGTCAACTCCAGTAAGTCAAATACCCGGAACCTAAACTGAGAGAAAGACAAATTTTTCCTGAGAAATGCTGCTTTTGTTTATATCTATGAATGGTGCTGATAAAGGACATAACATCATGGGATATATTACTAAATAGCTGTAGCGTATTCTATGCGTTGAGGATTTTTCTTTTTCATTGAGTACTTTGATTGGTTTGTATATTAATTTGGTTAGGCAGCGGTCAATGTGAGGGATGATATATTTGGGATTTACAATACATTTGACCACTCTCTAAATGGCATTTTAAGCCAGTTATGGATTGTACATAAACATGTTAGGTTTTTTAGTTTTCTGACTTAATAAATGTCTCAGTCCCTTGTTTTGTATCCTCCTTCTACAGATAACTATGGGCTGGTGAAGGCGGTGCTTTGTGCAGGACTCTATCCCAATGTAGCCAAAGTGGCAAAATGTCCACGACCAGGGGCGCCACCGTACAAGTAAGTAGAGCAGAACTTCGCCATGTTAAGCTGCACAACCATTGAGGAAGCCCTCAAACTCTGTAAACTCGGCTCACAAGGACAACTGTCAGGACAACTTCAACGAAGGCGTACATGTGTACCCATGCTTGACACGTAATCAAATCTCATTTATGTAGATCGATGCTTATGCCTTTGAACACTGGATTGTGTGGTCCAAACTCGATTATTTTCAGACTGCTGCCATATATGCTTGCATAATGCTGCGTACGGCATGAAACAACAAACAACCAGCCATATCATGCCTATCTTCTTAAGGTATTACTGAAGTGGTTAACACCGGAGACACTGTCCTCCCACATCATGCGTACAGGTCGTGATGTAGCAGGTGTTAACCGACCTCACTCACTCTTTGATATTTTTTGAGAGTGCAGTTAAACAGTTCACATGTCACACTGAAGACCCGGGTTTGATTCCCCACATGTGTACATTGCGTGAAGCCCATTTCTAGTGTCCTCCGGCATGATATTGCTAAAAGCGACTTTGTTATTTTCAGAATGGTGTCTCTCTATACACGACATGAAGGCAAGGCAGATGTACACCCTAAATCTGTCAACTCCAGAGAGAACTTCTTTGAGTCCAAATGGATGGTGTTCTATCACAAGTTAAAGACAACCAAGGTATTGTCACTAGTGCAGTAGTCAGGGTTTACAGATCCACCACTCATGGCAACAATGATTTGTACAATTATGTCAAAATAAGAAATTATCAGTTGGTGGGAAATTTTTTAAGGACGGACATAAAATTTCTGAAACGTTGGAAGGCAACGGCAGTCATGTATTTAAAATCACAGACAACTGTTGTCCAGAAATATTTATCATCTCTGGCATTGGTCACATTTAGTGGTTCTGTTGGCTACATAAAATATGACTTGAAGCCTGTATTACGAGGTGAGGTGAAATTGGGTTTAACGTCGTGCTTGAGAATATTTCGCTCATATGACGACGTGCATGCATGTGCGGCTGCTTGTACTAGCCCGGACTTAAGCTGGTTTTATAGTGCTAGCCCACTGAGAAACCACGCCGCAGTGAAGCATGAATACCCCACTCAGACACATTATACTGACTCCGGGCCGACCAGTCCTTGTTGTACCCATTAATGCCTAACGCCAGGCAGGGACCAACAAGTACCATATTTTAACGTCTTTTGGTATATCGCGGACGGGATCGCTTTAGTATCCGGGCGGACGCTCTACCACTACACCACGGAGGCGGATGCCTGTATTATGAATAAAGTGTTGTGTGTATTCTTGCATGTTCTTTATTGTAGGTGTATGTCCATGACTGCACAATGGTGTCACCGTATCCACTGCTGTTCTTTGGTGGAGACATTGGTTCTGGAAAGGTGAGATTTCATAATTCATTTCAAATAGTGGCTTTAGGTGTATGTCCATGACTGCACAATGGTGTCACCGTATCCACTGCTGTTCTTTGGTGGAGACATTGGTTCTGGAAAGGTGAGATTTCATAATTCATTTCAAATAGTGGCTTTAGGATGGTAATCCTTTGAGAACACTGCATATCTACTACCGTCACTATTGTCTTGTTGTAAAAGGCGACTTACTTGATAGGGAAGCAGTGTGCGAAATCTATGCTAGCTGTGCGTGAAAATTACGAGCCAACAAAATAATTGCCCAAAATTTTGTGTAGAAACTGAGCAAAAGATATTGTCGACCAGACACGAGTTTAATCTTGTATTGGAGAGAGTGATATATTTACAAAACCCCATTAAAATTCACTAGCCAGTCTTTCCAGTGACTGGAGATTTACTGGCCCGACTGGCTTTTTCAGGTCAGGCTTGTGGTTGACAATTGTCTTTGATGCTCATGCTGTGGATCACTGGATTGTCTGGTCCAGACTTGATTATTTACAGACCGCCGGCCGATAGCTGGAATATTGCTATTGCCCTTCTTTCATTTCAATTTCAATTATAACAGATCTCTGATTAGAGGGGGGTAGCCTAGTGGTTAAAGCGTCGGCTCGTCACGCCGAAGACCTGGGTTCGAATCCCCACATGGGCATAATGTGTGAAGGCCATTTTGGTGTCCCCTGCCATGATATTGCTGGAATAGTGCTAAAAGCGGCGTAAAACTAAACTCAGTCAGTCTGATTAGAGGGTATTTCCTAGACCAGTGTTTTTTCTGATTAGTTTCTGTGGATGATTTGTCTGGAAGATGTGTGTAACTGTTGTGTTGCTGATCAGGATGGAGACCAGGAAACCGTGTCTGTAGATGACTGGATTGTCTTCAAAGCCTCACCCACCACAGCACAACTAGTCAAGGTATGTATTCTCTACTTGGGGTGAAACGATACGCTCTTACCATGGTTCGGTATAGGAGATGATCACAATGCAGAAAATTAACAAGAGCCAAAGCTTTTCTAAAATGTCTAAGTTTAACAAAGGTTGACAAAATGAAGGTACGAAACCGAATTCTTGGATTGCATAACGGTATACCATACCGAAGCGAAGTCAAAACAAAATACCCTACTTTTGGGTATCACTGCCATGATTCATCATAGCTTTGTGGGAATTCTGTTAGAATGGGTCGCCAACAACCTGTGTGCTGCTTATGAGAAGAACTTAAGGTTAGGTTTGGAAAAATATACCCCAAGGTCTCGGATTGTTGCTCATAATGCGAAACACTGGTTTGTCTGATTCAGAGTTGATTATTTATGGGAATTATGTTTGTTTTTGACATCGAGAGTAATCAGCAACTGGGATGTTTTTCCTGCCCCCAGGACCTGCGACGCGAGTTGGACAAGTTACTGGAACACAAGATCACCCACCCTGGGCCCACCAGCTGGAGTGAGGCAGAGAAAGAGGGAGCTCTCATGCGGGCTATATCAGACCTCATCACTACAGATGAAGATCAGTTCCAGTCAGGGGTACTGGCAGCTCATTCCACAGACACGCAGCATCACAGGAGGAACAGACATAAACGTTGGTGATGTTTGTATGCTAGACTGGATAATTAGGTGCAGTGTCAGCATATTCTATGGACAGTAGTGGTGTTTCCTTGTGCAAACTGAAGCTGTTAAATAGGCTCACCGAACTGAGCATCACAGGATGAAGGACATGCTGGTGCTTGGGAGGTGTCAGTCGTGACAAGCTTTAACCACAACTGATAACACCCGGGTTCGATTCTCTGTGTGTACAATGCGTGACGCCTCTTTCTAGTACCACAATATTTCTAAAAGCAGCATAAAATCAAATTCATTCTCTCAACGATGACCCAGAGACTGGTGGTGTGGTCAGATCATGGCAAACTGAGAGGTAGGTATGGATGATCATGGCACATGGTTTGTTGTTGTTGAAGCGCATTCCAGGAGAAAATGGTCTGGTCAGAAACATGACTGCCCCCAAGATGACATGATGGACAATAAATAATAATAATAAGCAGCTTAAATAAATATGTCAGACAATATTAACGTTATGGTTGATCGATTTTCAGAAATAACAATATGCAACTTGAAATTGTTATCGATTTTAGTATCCACATAACATGGGGTTTTTCAGCTCACCTTAACGTGAAAAATCGGCCGTCAAATCTCAGAAAATGTGTTACTAAGAATAAGATTATGCACTTCTCTTTGACTGTACCTTTATCTGGGCAGATGCTGTATCCATGGAGACGGTCCACACACACAAAAAAACACATTTATATCATAGCAGAAACAATTCTTTATTAAAAATATTAATTCCCACTGGTTACATCTCTTGTAGACTCAGTGGAAATAACATATAAAAAAACGCTAAAATTGACATATAAAAATATGGTGTAAATAGTCCTATTAATTGTATATCTCGTACAGATCAGTAGGAGTAAAGCCATATTGTCTGCACCCTGTCTCACATGTTGCAATCTCTCCTGCAGAAATGTGAGGTCCGTGCAAGGAAACTGTCAATACTAATCATATGTTGTCCAGGTAATAGTACACCTCCATGCAGAGAAGATGGTTTGATGTATTACAGGCTATGTAAAATGATTATATCCTACCTGCCTTATTACCATGGTCCGTCTCGCATTTTATTGTTGCCAAGTACGTAATTGGCCCTGTGAAAATGATATACTTTCCATGTTCATATAGGAATATTTCCTGCATTTACCTTCCCTGTGTGACAGTCCAAATCGTTTCCATGGAAACCAAATAAATGCCCAAAATCTGCAAATAGCAAAAGGCACCACTAAAAGATCTGTTTGATATATCTGCCAAGTCTTGAAGAAACGGTTTTTGAGTTGTGCTCCGGAAAGAAGCCCCACCCATCGCTTTTTAGCGAAACCAAGAAAAATAAAAATGACACAAATCTGCAGATATATCAAACAGAACCTAAAGTGGTGCCTTGAAAGATATTGAACAGTTTTTGAGTTATGCTCCGGAAACAAAATGATTACAGACGGACGAGATGTCAACTATATCTCCCCGCATTACATGCCGGTGGGATAAAAATGCTCCTTAATAAAACTGAGAATGGTTTTGAGTGAAGAAAGAAGAAAATGTGCCTGATGTCGCGGTCCCTATGCCACAGATCCAATGACCCCCAGCATGAAGCCTAACATGAAACACCTTCCCTGGTTGTTACATACCGATCATCCCAGGCTCTGCATGGAGGTGAAAAATCCCTGTTTATAGCACAAATAAAATCAGAAAGCTCACATCATGAAACAGATCCAACTAACAACAAACTCACAGGTTACAAACTCTCTTGTAGAAGAATGAGATTGTCCTAGTGATAACAATAATTGTCATAAAATTGAGAAAATGGCACTGATTATGAATAACATCCATGCACCTTTGACTATATTAAGACTATATACATGTTACTGATTACAAAGATTTCAGAACCTCAGCTATTGGACAGAAAAACCTTGTTAATCCAAACAATATCATTCATCATGAAATCAGAATGATGGGGGTTCTGGATTAACCAATAATATTCCCTAGGCAGCAACATGTCTACATTTTTGGGTACCACAATTATTGCACCGTCACAGTCTATCTAGTTTGTAGAGTGGGTACCTGCCAGAAACCTTACGGGGAAACATGGGTTGGCATCTCTGATGGAAAAGAATTCTTAACAGGTTAAAACACGCAGAAAAAAAAATTGTATACTGCTCTGAATTTTAAATAGTTCTCTAATTTTCACACATAATGAATGTATCAGGATATTATGTTAAGTTAAGCATATGATTTTAAAAAGCCCAAAGAACACTGAACATAAAAAGAATAATAAGGGCAGAGCATCAAATAAAAAGGACAGGGCATTGTGCTCTGCTAAATTTCATGATTTCAAACACAGAAAATTTGCATATTCATTACTTCTGTCAAAGGACTGACTGAGTTTGGTTTTACGCCTCTTTTAGCAATATTCCAGCAACATCGGGGAACACCAGAAATGGACTTCACACACTGTACCCATGTGGGGATTCGAACCCGGGTCTTCGCGTGAGGAGCCAAAGCTTTAACCACTAGGCTACCCCACCGCCCCATAAAGGCATCATGTAAATACATCTACCTTTGTTAAACAAATTTCTAAACAAAGGAAAACATTGATCTGAAGAGTGAACCCTGACCATAAGCCTCAAAGTTTCACTGGCACATGTGTGAGGCTTAAAAACATTTGATTAACATGGCATTACAAAAGTTTTGATTATCTCACAGGTTACAATTTCTCTTGTAGAAAAGTGAGAAACATAAAATATATATCATAGCACTAAGATGCTAAAAACACAAATACAAATCTTTATATATAACAATAAAGAAGATTACACCTGGAATCAGATTGAAGACACACTTTTGTAAGGTTTAAGAGTATTAATGATTATTTGATATATTTGATAAATCATGACAATTGTGGCCTGATAAACGACCAAACAAGACCTACAGCATCTCCAAGATCTGGTTACAATTTTTATAAAATGGAGTCCGAAGTCACTGTATCCTGTTTCCATTCACTATCAGTTACAATCCTGTGATCGGAGGATCTAGACTTTACATACTGATTGTCCCATCACTCATTGATGAGTTCCACAGCAGCCATTTTGTTCTTTAGCTTGGCCACATCACATGACCCCCTGAATGGAATGGATACTGGGTTGTCCGTTTCAGACTAATTGCATGAGGGCAGCATTTTTAAATTCAAATACGCTGTAGATGACGTGGACATGCACCAGTGTTTCACATGGCTTTTGAATACAAATCTACTTTTGATCTGTCTATAGTCAAAGATGGATTGTCTGAAGAAATTGTCACGCTTGGTATAGGAGATGACCAGCTGCTTTAGTTCTAAATTCATTGTAAACAAGTAAGTACTTCAAATGCAGTCCTGGGCCCCGTTTCATAAAGCTGTCATAGTGCTACAACCGTCGTACCTCCTATACTGTAACATACACTTACAACAGTCGTCAGTGCTCGGATAGCTTTGTGAAACTGGGCCCTGAATTTTGGATGGTACATCTCCCTTACAGAGTATGTATTCAACAAAAACAGCCATGACAACATAGGAAATTGTGTTTGACTTTCCTATAACACTGAGATAGTTGTTATTTTAGCATGTCAACACTGTAAAGTCTTTGTTCACTGAAGCACCTCTACATGATATTCCACAGCTGTTAATGACATGATTGATCACATATAATGTAGACGTTTCATTTGTAACAAAAAATATCAGTGTCAGTTTTCAGAATCTGACAAAATGAATTAATAACTTCAAGCAATCAGTCTTCACACTTGAATACCTATTGATTTCAACATGTACAAACGCAGATCGATCATACAATAGTATCATGTGACAGTCCTACCGCTGACTAACAAGGCGTGGATACAAAATATGTTCACCTCAAACGTTCTGTTTATAACTCATACAACAAGTGGAATCCTTGCACTGCATCAAACAAGATAACCTAGTGAAAATAAAATCATCATCATCATCATCATCATCACAAGTATAGAATCTTTACAAGTTCCACTGCATCAAGCTGACCATTCAGTGAAAATAAAGCAGTAACATCATCACAATTGTGGAATCCTTGCCAATTACACTGCATCAAACAAGATAATCTATCGTTGCATTTTGATTATCACTAGTGAAAGGTTGTTTTTTTGTGTGTGATATGTTTTGGGTAATGTTTGATTATGGGTGAATTAATCAAGATTGAAGGACTATTTGCACTGTGATTTGGCCACATCCACATGAACAGTGAAAAACATTTTATTTGTTGCTGGTTTTAAAAAAGTGAGTATGCTTTTACACCACTTTTTAGCAATATTCCAGCAATAAAATGGCATGGGAAACCAGAAATAGGCTTCTCACATTGTACCCATGTATGCTTTCGACACGACAATTGAATGCTTTAACCCTATTGGTTTTAAACAAAGTATCTAGCCAATGCATAAGAGTCCAGTAGGGCTACAAATGTGGTGGAATATATAATAATAATAATGCTAATTTTTGCGCCTAGAATCCAACATGACACTGTTCTCTGGCGTTACATCAAAGAAAGAAACAATCAAACACAATTATTTTCTTCAGATGCTTGACAATAAAATAATGACAAAAAGGGAAGGGAATGTGTTTGGCAGTGAAGCAGTGGGTATGAAATTCTAATAATTTTTTTATAACAGCCTAAGTTGGGTTTTTTTAATGTTTCATAAAAAAATTTCTACCACAATATAATGCATCACACAAAATAAAACCTCTTTAACATGGCTTCATATCTAGCACTGTCAATAAATTAACAAACCTGAGTGACAGACAACTATCAGATAATAAGCAAGTTTACGGTCAAAATTTGGCACTCTCACATGTTACAATTTCTCTTGTAGAAATGCAAGAGACAGGCACAAATAAATAAGCTATATCATAATTAAAATTATCACATTCTCATACATTATGGCAGTAAGTAAAACTTATTACACAAACAGAGGACATCCATAACCCGTTCCCTCATTGAATGGGCAATAAAACAAAACAAGTAAAACAGGGGCCATAACTGTGAAATTGGAAAAGGTCCTTGGAGAATCAACCAAACTCAATACTTGTAGAAGTAACCTGTTCCAACTGGCAGTATGTGAAAACCACAACAACAACAAAAATGAAAAGGTCATGTAAATTTGCCAAGAACTCACAATTTGATTGATTTTGTTCGGAGCAGATCAGTTATAACTATCTAACACAGGGTAACTGGTAATATTTGATCAAAGCATATTTGATATCAAATAATGTGACCAAAATAACTAAAAAAGTAAATCCTGCATGTCACAGGAAAATTACTAACAGAATTAACATACATAAATTCTTCTCTGAGAGGCATTTTAGAAGCTGGAAGTACAAAATAGTAAACAATTATGGACAACAACTTCTTGACACAGAACAAGAATCTGTACCGAAACGTGATACTCATGAAATAAAGAAGTTTTTATCCATGAAGGTCATCTATATTACACAAAAATTCGCATGAATTTGACAACCCCCTGCAAAAACATTAGCAAACAAAAGATTTCAACATGGAGCTACCAGTAGTTATAAGCACAGTCCAGTGATAAGAAATAAAAATAATCACTCCTGCTTTGTTCATTATGGGTTTGTCAAAATCTGAAAAAATAGTTACACTAACAAAAGATATGGTACGCCACTCTCAGCAATATTCCAGCTATATGGCGGCAGTCTGTAAATAATCGAGTCTGGACCAGACAATCCAGTGATCAACAGCATAAGCATACTCTGCAAACAATGCACACAAACAAGCAGGTTTGGTTCAAAAGAACGCTGGGACATACTTCTACTATCACATTCCTACATCATCTCGTCATTAAAACAATAGAGTCTTCTCATCTTTCACCTTTCTCGAATGAACACATAATTGTCTTCGCACTTATCACCAAAACACAACATACAGGGATTGTCAAAAACATGTACACCAGTCCTCTCTAATTATGCTCATACTGAATTTAACTTAGAGCAGATTACTTTGTGAATACATGTAATTATTTCATTCCAAGCTCTTGGTTTGGAAAAATGACAAACAATTGTATAGACCTTTCTATCTGATACAAGAACTTTTGCAGTTTAGTTATAAGGGACCGTTCATAATTTATGGCAAGGGGGATCGATGATGATTTTTATGGAGAAGCATGTACAAACTCAGTGACACCCCCCCACACACACACCACGTCATGCACAAAATCAATTACCCCCCTCCCTCTTCCCATATTTTTTAGGCATAATTTTTTTTTATTTTTGTGTACAGAATTGCTGACCCCTGGTAAATGTGTACAAAATTGCTGACCCCTGGTAAATGTGTACAGAATTGCTGACCCCTGGTAAATGTGTACAGAATTGCTGACCCCCTGGTAAATGTGTACAAAATTGCTGACCCCTGGTAAATGTGTACAGAATTGCTGACCCCCCTGGTAAATGTGTACAGAATTGCTGACCCCCCTGGTAAATGTGTACAGAATTGCTGACCCCCCTGGTAAATGTGTACAAAATTGATGAGCACGCTATTCTTTTTAGTTAATTCTTTGCCATGTTTACCTCAATATTGCAAGGTTTACATAAAATTATACCTAATTGTTCTCAAAGTGAATAAATTGATTTCTTTTTAATTTTTATTTTACATTCTCGTGGTTCTACTCATCTATATAATTAATATTTCTTACATATAATTTATATTTTTTTATGATCATATATTATCTCACACAAGTCTTAATATGCTTGAACAATTTATGGATAGGTCTCCGGGTTATTTACAACATGTTGGTTCAGTCTTGTGACAGACAGATTCAAATATTGACATTCCTAGTTGTCATTTTTAAATTTACAGGCCCACATTCGTGACATACTGTATCAGATCTAACTATCTGGGTCATGTGCAATACTTTAAAATTTAGACTAGCCACACCCTACAGACTTATTTTGAGCCAAATCAAGTATTATTAATAATCCTGTTAAACACTAAATAAACTGCAAACTTGATATTAACAAGAAGACAAAGTCATCAATATCCCCAGCAATGGCAAAATACTCTTCATGATTATGTCTACTGAGTTATGATTATGTCAAATATTTAGGTGTGTATATAGAAAAGTGGAAGGAGAGTATTGAAAGGTTTTTAAAGTTCTGCTCCAGAAAGGAGCACTATCACCAATTTCAGTCTATGTCGAACTTGTTGCCATGGAAATGCCAAAAATATTTTATTCAGAAATCCAAAACTACCAAAAGGAACCAGTACACCACCAGATCTATCTATGTGCCAAGTTTGGTGAAGAAATAGTGAACGGTTTTAGAGTTCTGCTCCTGAAAAGAGCACTACCACCAATTTCAGGCTAAGTCAAACTTGTTGCCATGGAAATGCCAAAAATATTTTATTCAGAATTCCAAAACTACCAAAAGGCACCAGTACACCACCAGATCTATCTATGTGCCAAGTTTGGTGAAGAAATATTCAATGGTTTTAGAGTTCTGCTCGGAAAAAGACAAATGTGCACGGATGAGGGACGGAGTCCATTTTAATACCCCCCGCAAAACGCGTTGCGGGGGATAAAAAATAATATCAGTGTTTCAGAGTACTCAATAACAAATATGTGCAAGTCACTGAAGAAATTCACTTTTAAAAACTGGCTGAAATGAAATCTATTTAAGAACATATATCAAAATATATATTAAATAAAACCCATGAAAAATATGGAAGTTTTCTTTCTTCATACTCAAATGGAAGTCTGAAAATTTTCATCTGAAAGTTTGATGGTCTAAGGCAGCATATTTTCTACTATCTTTTATAAATCCCAGAAATGTGCCCTGGTTTTTGACCACTGGTGTGACCCTATACAACACAAGTTACTCATGTCCCTGCCCTGCTTTCACAAAGGAAAGAAGCTCTTGACAAGAGACTGAGGCAGCCTTTAGAAATATATATAGATCACTCTGTCAATAGTGGGAGCTATTATCTCAATCTAAAACATAAAACTGTCAAGTCATCTTCATACAATATGAGGAGTAAAATGATATAGCAAAGTCATGATACCATGTATATCTCATTAAGCATATTTACATCAAATGGAAAGTAATTGTAAATAATTTAGAGGAAGACCTAAAGGAAACAAGCTGTAGAAACATGATAATATTGGTTATTTAAGTATTCTTGAAACACTGACTACAACATATTTTCAATATTTGACTTGACTGGGTGGTCATTAAGACTAGTAACTGGCTATGAAGTGGATATGTGGCAGGTAACAATAATGGGTGTTGCAATACTTTTTTCCATGTGTATATTTCAATCCTGTTAACTGACCACGCCCTTATTTATTCCACCCCAGAAACTCAGACCTTGTGTTTGACGAATATACAATGTGATGACACATCTACCGACAACAATTAGTCATGCCATTCTTTAAGAAAAATACTTTAGAAAAGTAGTCATTTTAAACATCAAGGATGTAAATCTGGTAGACCAATGTTTGACTTGGTCTCTTTAAATATACTTGAATTATTTCCTTCACGAGTCCTGTGACATGTCACGAGATTTTATTTCACCAATAGAAAATTTATTGCTTGGATGAACTGCATACATCATGATAAATCTGATCTGTCTTGATAGCTTCCCGTTGAAATTAAACGCCCTTCCTGAGTGATATAGCATTTACAGATCTGTACTGCAAACAAACAGAAGTTGATAAGTAGACTAGGGCCCTGTTCACAAAGTAATCTCCAGCACTACGACTACCATAAATCTAAGTTAACATATGAATTTAACATAGTCATTTTGCTAACAACACAATGGCAATGGGTCCTCACAAAAGAGGGATTCATCTAAGACTGAAAACTTTGACCCCTGGATCCAAATTTGAAAAGAAACATTATTTTATTAAAATAAATGGTTTCTTAAAGTACTTACCATAAATTCTCAGTATTTTAACATTGTTTTATGGGACTGTATTTGATGCAATATTACACAATCAAGTATTAAGCATTCTTCCACTTTAATGGTATTGTCAGCAGTGAAATACAGATAACATATATTTCTTTATCACTTTGTACATTGTTTACTTGCCTCCTTATCATGGGTAATCACACGGAAATATTTCTGTAATAATCATTTCCTACTCAAATTTATTGTGTAGCAGTGTGTAAATTACAAGTTCAACTGATTTTAGAGTTTATCTTTCTAACTTCAAATTTAGATAGACCTATATTGGAGTCCATTGTTTCATGCCAAATAAGGCTGCATTGGTTTTACGTCGAAATGTGATCCATGAAATGTTTTATCTAACAATTTCTCCTCACAAAATGTGACATGCAAATTATCTTAACTAAAGAAACCCACCAAAAAAACATTTGTTCTCTTCTTGTTTTACTCTCAAATTTTGAATGTTTCTGAACAACTTGTTTTAAAAAGGCTAAACATATCCTGTTTGTATACCTTGTTTCATTTTAATTTTGAAAAAATAATCAACACCATTAAATGTTTAACATTAAGTTCTAGTTATAAGAGATAGAAAGGTCAATCAAATCTGGAAGCATGAATCTAGAACAACATTAACAGATTCAACCCAAGACTTTCAGGAATGTTGTCTGTGTTATATAGGCTCAATTTGTATAATACATGTTTTACATTTTATTTTTGTTCGTGAGTTTGGTAAATGCTTCTATCAGCAATATTCCTGCTATGAAGGTGGCCTGTAAGTAGTTGAATCAGAGCCAGACAATCCGTTTCAGTGATGCCACAAAACTAGTCATCATGGTCATAAACAGCTTATCATTTTCAAAAATATATCTATCATATATTCCTTGTCACACATTACAAAAAACGTTTGATTTAAATTAGGAGTAAAAAAAATCACACACAAAAAGCATAGGCAATTCTTTCTCAGATTTCAAAGATATTTGATGGGAGTCAATTTTGATTTGAGCATTATTACGTCCTTTCAATCCTTTCAAAATGACAACTCATTCTATAAATAATTAATAGAAACCCTAAAACGTGTGGTAACAGGCAGGAACATATATAATCCCTGATCATGACATGCATTCAGTATAATAATCCCTGTCTTTGAAACTACTTAACATTGACCTTGTATAATATTCACTCACCATTTCCAGACTTAACAGTGAAACATTCAGATCAGTACTCAGAGAAAGTCTATCAGATACATCAATTCCATTAAAATATATTTTAACGATCAGATCTTTTGACTGAGAAGATTCATGAATCTCAAACACAAGCCTTGACGCCAATGGAAGAACTTGCTCCACTGGCAATCCCAGAACTGTCATCACCATGACAACGAAATCCTCTTCCGCTGCCATGACGGAAAATCTCTCATACCCACTCCCATGCAGCCATTTGAACATTCGCTCAAAAAATGGATAAACATTAAGATGTGCATAGCTTTTGAAACTAACTGTGGACGTTATGTGATTGAGATAATCATTAGTTGACTGGAAAACATCATTTAAATTTGAAATGCTGATGTTGAAACAGGTTCCATCTTTGCATGGATGTTGTCTCCCATCACAGACCCATGATGAAAGGAAAGACACGATTTCACGTGGAGCAATTTCTGTATGATAAGGAAGGTTTATTTTTTCATTGATGCCACGCTCAACTTTGGCACTTTCTTTAAATATATGAAACCCTCTTCGCACTGCTTTCGCAATCTGATGTTGAAGAAAATCTGACTTTGGACAGGAGCATCGATGACTAGGATACATTTGACAAAAATTATTCAAAGACTTTTTGACGCTTGTTGATACAAAATCTTTCTCATGAAGCAAGCCATGCAAAAACGCAAAAATACTCTGATACGCTGCTTCATCTTGTATGCAGTGCGCTGCCAACATCCCCTCTATGGCATATGGTTCATCAAACCCAAATTTAGAGTATTTCTTTCCCATATATTCTCCTAAAAGAATATGCTGGGTTGTACCAAGGGGAGACAACTCCTCATACTCACAGAATGGTGAATCAGGGTATGGCCGAAATATTTTGAATCCATCTTTCTTTGATTTCATATGACGATAAATATCAGCAACTTCGGGGAGACTTTGAACTTTAGGATGGCTTGACCGGTGTGCATACTCCTCAAAGTCACAGCTTATATCGGGACTTGTCATGTTTTCAAAATCAATCTTTGTAGCTCGCTGTCCTGGAGAGATTAGGGTGAGAACCTTCTTCAAGTGATAGCCAGGCACAGGAGAACCTGAGAAGGACAGAATTAAAGGCATCAAGTCAAAACACTTGGGTTCATGCAATATGCAAATTTTAAGGTGACCTTCCCCTAAAAGAGTTTTGAGCCCTTCCTAAACATGTATATTTTGTTTGTGTGTTGTTTAATGCTCCACTCAGCAATATTCTCAGTGTATGGCGGCAGTATGTAAATAATCAAAACTGTACCAGACAATCTGATGACCAACATCATGAGCACATGAGCATCGATCTACACAATTGGGTCAAATGTGTCAACCAAGTCAGCATGAGTGAGTGAGTTTAGGTTTATGCTGCTTTCAGCAACATTCCAGCAGGGGACACCATAAGTGGGCTTCACACATTGTCCCCATTTTGGGAATCGAACCTGGCTCTNAACGGTGTGACGAGCGAACAACTTCAGTGTAACCACGAGGCAAACCCACCAACCCCACCAAGTCAGTGAGCCTGACCACACTCGATCCTGTTAGTCACCTCTTACAGCAAGCATGGGTTGCTAACCCAGATCTTCACTCATCATCATCATCATCATCATCATAGAACAAGACACCTTGATATTTTGCCCCAGTTCTTAGCACTACCTGTGAAGATTTACGAGTCCTTGTGTCAAGTTTCATGGATTAATGGCTTCCCATGACAGTTACTAATTAGCCTGTTGGCCAGTGTCAGTGTGTCTGATGTTAGCTGTATCCAGTTGGGCTGGCTGAAGTGAGTGAGTTTAGTTTTAAGCCGCTTTCAGCAATATTCCAGAAATATCACGACAGGGGACACCAGAAATAGGCTTCACACACTGTACCCTAAACTAACAACTAGTCTCTGAAATGAAAATATTTAACAGAGAAAAAGCTCATAATAACAAAAATCAAATATAATGAAAAGGAGCCCAGACTTGCCGCATTTTCTAAACTTGCGTGGACTTTCTTGGATATATTTGCTTCAGGGTCTGTATGAGAGACTAACTGTACCCACATCGGGAATCAAACTCGGGTCTTCAGCGTGATTAGTGAGTAAGTGAGTGAGAATAATGTTATGCCGCTTTTAGCAATATTCCAGGAATATCGTGGCGGGGGACACCAGAAATGGGCTTAACACATTGTATCCATGTGGGGAATCGAACCTGGGTCTTCAGCGTGACGAGCCAAAGCTTTAACCACTAGGCTACCCCACCGCCCCTTCAGCATGATGTGCGGACGCATTAATCACTAGGCAACCCCACAGCCCCTAGGGCTGGATAACATGATTGGTAATCAGACTTATCATTGGTGGGAAGACTGACTGACTGACTGAGTTTGGTTTTACGCCGCTTTTAGCAATATTCCAGCAATATCACGGCGGGGGACACCAGAAATGGGCTTCACTCATTGTACCCATGTGGGGATTCGAACCCGGGTCTTCGGCGTGACAAGCCAGCGCTTTAACCACTAGACTACACCACCGCCCCCATTGATGGGAAGAACTATTAATGATTATCGATATGAAAGTTGTGTCAGCAATAATATTGTACTAACTATTGTGATGACATAGTTTAATATACACTGACAACACACAAAGTCTATATTCATGGGCTACTTCCAAATTATGTTCAAAGCGTATTTTTAGAAAAAAAGCCAAAACATGTCACCAGTCACCAGTGATGTGACATATGTCTATTTCTTTCAGAATGTTTTGGCATTTTTGCTCAAAGTTAGTTCTGATATTTATTGATAATCGAGCAATATTCAGTTACAGTCCGTTAGAGTCAGAAATGGACCGATGAATTGCAAATTTTATCATTGTACAAAATTGCCACATAAATATAAATAGTACACATGTTTATCATTTACTAATACCCAACAGCTTTCTTATATTTGAAAATTATCCGGACTCCACCCAAAAAGTTGTTTAAGAAACTATCATCATTGAAAACGCAAAAGTTGTTATCTGTCGCGGAGGGGTGAAACCATGTTTTTTTTTTACCTTTATCATCCATATAGATAGCCAGGCCCAGTGTTCAGTCAGAAGATGTTGGTTTGTTTGTTGTTTAATGCTGCACTCAGCAATATTCCAGCTATATGGGGGCGGCAAGTAAATAATCGAGTCTGAACCAGACAATCCAGTGATCAACAACATGAGCATCGATCTATGCATTTGGGATACAATGACATGTCAACCAAATCAGCCTGACCACCTGATCCCGTCAGTTGCTTCTTACAACAAGCATGGGTTGCTGAAGACCAATTCTAACACGAATCTTCACGGGTGCAAGGAAATGTTTCAGATTGAGTTGAGCTTTGCTAACCAACAACTTTGCATAAGCGAAGCAAGAAAGCCAGTGAGGGCATCGTCACACATGTTATGGTAACAAATGGCCCAGACATTTTGACCAAATTTCACTGAAATAAGTGGATGACTTTAATGAAAATGCATTGCAACCCCAATGAATATGAACTAAGCTGCTGTCTAAACATTCATTTGAATTAAAGATACGCCGTGGTGCCCTGTTTTGATAAATACGTCTAAAACAGATCTGAACTCATGACTCAGTTTTCTTGTGCTCCGCTATATTTCATTTTTTTACATCAATAAGCAAACAAGAGTCAAAACATGAAAGATTCAACAGATAAAATATCTAATGCCTGAGTCACATGTTTGGCTCTCTTATCAGTAGTTTGCCAAAAAAGAGTACTTGTGGACTTTGGATGGGATTTCCCTTGTTTAAGTGAAAAAGGACTAAGTTTAAGTGTATGCAACAATGAGTGCAACAATGGTTTAAAAAATTGGTATAAATTAAATCTGAAATGGTTTTTTTTTAAGATTCAAACAGACGTTTTGACATCCCTTGGATAGCAATGCAACTATTGATGGTATCCATTCTTTAATCTTACGAGTATTACATGCAATTAAGGCGGAGTGTTGGAAATAAAATCTTTCATATCTACCTTCACTGCCAGTGAATGCATTTTCCGACAGACGACAATAGTTCATAAACCCAGGGTGTAACAAGGGATCGGACTGGTTGTCGACTGTGAATGTCATCACACCGCCATTGTTCTCTTCTGGCTTCAGCAGTGCCCTCTGGTGGTCACCAGACACATGAAGAGATGAATCGTCGCCATGGATACATGGGAAGCACAAGCAAAACACTGAAATAACAAGAACATCCAATATACTTTATCCTCATACATACAAGCAGAAGAGAAAGAAACACTGCATGATACTGACGCCAAATTACATTTCATCCAATTGTTTTTTCCAATCATTAAAACCATCTGCAATACAACATCTAGAGTCCACTTTACTCTACAATGCTTTACTCCACTCTACAACCACAATGTCTGCTTTACTCTGTTATACAACCACCCAAGGTTTTACACAGACTTAGAAAAACGGGAGTCATGGTGACTCACAGTATTTATTTTGGAGAGTCATTTTCAACATTTGGGAGTCATGAAAATTTTAGTTTGATATTAGTGTAATATTTTATTGTGCAAATCCAAAAGCAAGAGTTGTGCAACAATTTTGTTCTTTTGTGTTGTATTGTCATTGATATGAGTCCTTGTGGGTAGCAAAAAGCACTTTAAGTCCCTAAGGTCCCTAGTGTGACGATCTACCTTCAATTGTTCGCGACCTATAGCCTGTTTTTATATTGCATTGTCTTCGTAAAGTAAAATAGTTTTTAGATTTACAGGCTAGTTTTAGACTCCATCTGTGATAATCTAGTTATTTTACAGTCCTTTGATGACTGATTATTTAACAATTAAAATTTATTGTCTATGTAAAACATTTTCTCATCACTATATGGCTGAAATATTGCTGAGGTGACATAAAATTTTAATTCACTCACTCACTCATGTATATGATTAGTTAATACATAGTATATTTTTCACTGTTCAATTCAATCATAACAAAGTCCAGTATACTGTATACCAGCAGGTTCACCCAGAAAGTTCACCATCAATATACCTGACATAAATTGCCAGCTTTTTTTTCTATGGTGATGTCACAGGTCTCATCCAATATAAGGCCAATGTATGGACTGCTTTTTATGGCTTCAATTTGCTGTTCTTCCATAATATGGAAGATCGATTCTTCAATGACATGAGCATTTCTGTAAAGTTACTGCGATGTGTTCTACACCATTGATAACCTGTAGATTCATCAAATCTCTAAAAGTATCGGCAGGGATATTTTTTGAGCCACCTTACATAAACAGTGCGCATATGTGACCATCAGTCTGGTCGCCACGGTCTGCATTTTTGATAGATGTGCTGAAATGCGCTTTGCATTTTGTGAATTTTAACTGAGTCAATGTCATCTTTAGAAGATTTAATGACTGGTTAAGGTTGAGTTCTGGAAAATTTTGACAAACAAATGTGATGGGGTTCGATTTATTGTTTGCCGAATGCACATATCACTGATTATGATTTTGAAGCCGGTTTTAGTGCTCATCATTAGAAACGCCATGAGATTAGTTTTTCTCGCTTTCATTATCGAAAAACAAGTCAAGCAACAGCTGTTTCTTAGCAGGACTGACAATGCTTAAATGACCAAAACAAAGTCTAAACATAGTGACTGACGTATTTAACTGCTATTGGCTGTCAAAATATAGTAGAATGGCATACCCAATGCTATTGGCTGGTTTCTTTACCGTGATTCTAGCATGCCATGGCTCTATATTTGTAGCCACTCGGTGTTCCCATACTTCCTGTTAATATCACGCTGCGTTTTCAATACAGTTTACAAATAAGAAGACAAAGTCATCAATATCCCCGAATGGCAAAATACTCTTCATGATTATGTCTACGAAGTTATGATTATGTCAAATATTTATGTGTGTATATAGAAAAGTGGAAGGAGAGTATTGAAAGGTTTTGAAAGTTCTGCTCCAGAAAGGAACAGTCACCAATTTCATTCTATGTCAAACTTGTTGGCATGGAAATGCCAAAAACATTTTATTCAGAATTCGAAAACTACCAAAAGGTACAAGTACACCACCAGATCTATCTATATGCCAAGTTTGGAGATGAAATATTGAACGGTTTTAGAGTTCTGCTCGAAAAGAGCACTACCACAATTTCAGTCAAAGTCTAACTTGTTGCCATGGAAAGGCCAAAACATATTTGATTCAGAATTCCAAAACTACCAAAAGGCACCAGTACACCACCAGATCCATGTATGTGCCAAGTTTGGTGAAGAAATATAGAACGGTTTTAGAGTTCTGCTCGAAAAGACAAATGTGCACGGACAGACGGACGGACGACGCACGGACGGAGTCTATTTTAATACCCCATAAAGCGCGCTGCGGGGATAATAAACCGAAAGTTATCTCTGTTGATAGATTTTACTGAACTGAATTCCGAGGGTCACTCATAAGACTTTGCGTCAAGATTGACTCTCGTATGATAATATTTTGAAGGTCTTTTTACAAATTGTTGCGTCAATTACACAGGAATCACGCAGCGGCCATGTAAAACCCTGCAACACCCAGTCTGCTTCACTCTCGGCTTCTACAACCACCCACAGTCTGCTTTACTCTGCTATACAACCACCAACAGACTGCTTTACACTGCTATACAACCACCCACAGTCTGCTTTACTCTGCTATACAACCACCCACAGTCTGCTTTACACTGCTATACAACCACCCAGTCTGCTTTACACTGCTATACAACCACCCACAGTCTGCTTTACTCTGCTATACAACCACCCACAGTCTGCTTTACTCTGCTATACAACCACCCACAGTCTGCTTTACTCTGCTCTACAACCACCCACAGTCTGCTTTACTCTGCTATACAACCACCAACAGTCTGCTTTACTCTGCTATACAACCACCCACAGTCTGCTTTACTCTGCTATACAACCACCCACAGTCTGCTTTACTCTGCTATACAACCACCCACAGTCTGCTTTACTCTGCTCTACAACCACCCAGTCTGCTTTACTCTGCTATACAACCACCCACAGTCTGCTTTAGTCTCCGCTTCTGCTTTACAACTCTACCCACCCACAGTCTGCTTTACTCTTTACTCTGCTATACAACCACCCAGTCTGCTTTACTCTGCTATACAACCACCCACAGTCTGCTTTACTCTGCTATACAACCAACCACCCAGTCTGCTTTACTCTGCTATACAACCGCAGTCTCTTTGCTATACAACCACCCAGTCTGCTTTACTCTGCTATACAACCACCCACAGTCTGCTTTACTCTGCTCTGCTCTACAACCCAGTCTGCTTATACAACCACTCTTTGCTCTCTACAACCACCCCAGTCTGCTTTACTCTGCTATACAACCACCCACTCTGCTGCTGCTATACAACCACCCAGTCTGCTTTACTCTGCTCTACAACCACACAGTCACAGTCTGCTTTACTGCTGCTCTACAACCACCCACAGTCTGCTTTACTCTGCTATACAACCACCCAGTCTGCCTTACTTTACTCTGCTATACAACCACACAGTCTGCTTTACTCTGCTCTACAACCACCAGTCAACATTCTGCTTTACTCTGCTATACAACCACCCCAGTCTGCTTTGCTCTGCTATACAACCACCAACAGTCTGCTTTTCTGCTATACAACCACCCAGTCTGCTCTGCTGCTTTACTCTGCTCTACAACCACCCAGAGTCTGCTTTACTCTGCTATACAACCACCAGTCTGCTTTACTCTGCTATACAAGTCCACCACCCAGTCTGCAGTCACCCAGTCTGCTTTACTCTGCTATACAACCACCCACCCACAGTCTGCTTTACACTGTTATACAACCACCCACAGTCTGCTTTACTGTGCTTATACAACCACCCAGTCTGCTTTGCTGTGTACAACCTCTGCTTTACTGTGTTATACAACCACCCAGTCTGCTTTACTGTGTTATACAACCACCCAGTCTGCTTTACTGTGTTATACAGCCACCCAGTCTGCTTTACTCTGCTATACAACTACCCAGTCTGCTTTATTCTGCTATACAACCACCCACAGTCTGCTTTACTCTGTTATACAACCACCCAGTCTGCTTTACTCCACTCCACAACCACACAGACTAGTAATCTTTGTATTGCATGCAAACTTGATGGGTTGACTCTGTTTTTAAGATACGAAAGGAAATTCATTGTTGCATAAGAAATACATTTCCTGTGTACTAATCCGAAAAAGCTTACACTGCTGGGATACTTTCTTACATTTACAATCAAACTAGAACTACCAGGGATATTTCCAAATTACAACATCTGACGGGCATCCACCATTCTTATTATCTGATTGTTTAGGCTGAAGAAATTAATTAGCACGCGTCCTTTGGTATATGTATATGCGTATAAACAAGGCTAGAATAACAAGTTACACTGTCAAGGTAGACAGCTGCCCAGTCTCCATGTCCGTCACAGTCAAGGAAGCTGAGCATCGGGCAGCTGGAGGACATAATTGTCGGCAAGAAACATGAATCACTCTAGATCAGTGCCCCTTTAACACTGATTTCAACAGTATTACAGTTACGTCACAGCAGAACTGTAAAAAAAGTGACATGTGGGATTAAAGCCAAACGAGATGCATGTCTCATATAGTCACCATTACAGTGAAATCAGTCAGCACAGGTATGAGTGAGCGAGTTTAGTTTTACGCCGCTTTTTACTAATACTATATTCTAGCAATATCACGGCGGGGAAAAACCAGAAATAGACTTCACACATTGGACGCATGTGGGGAATCGAACCAGGGTCTTCGGCGGGACGAGCAAAGCTTTAACCACTATGCTACCCCACTGCTCCTAGCACATAATCAGGACAAGCTGGGATTCAAACTCATACTGATAGGTTTCTGGTTTGCCAAAGGGAGGCAACTCGGCACTGCAAATAACTGCACCTCTGACAAGTGACAATCAGTATCAAGGAAAACCAAGTGAGTAAAAGCATACAGAATACCTTATCAACACCCAATGTGTTTGACATGTGATTAAATACATGGCTAAAAGAATTATCTTAAATATAAAAATACATCAACATATGACCCTTTTCATAATCTGTCTGCTCACCTGCAAGGGCTGCCACCATTGAAACGAATCTGTCACAAGGTGGGTGACTGTGATAGCCTATGAACGTCATGACGGACAAGGAATGAAACCATCTACACATAGCTGCCCCCACA